TATGAAACTGTTTCTTTTTTAGTCCACTAGCTACATTACAGACGTCTATTAACCAAATGCTCATACCCGTAATGTATGTTTCCCTTTCTGTATATATACACCTGAGAGGTGGTGTTTTCTAAAATAAAAAATAAAAAGAATTTTATTTTTTATTTTTTTTTTAGATTTAAGGGGGGTGTCCAGGAAAACTAGGGGGGGTCTCGACTCCCCCTAGGGGGATCTAGGGAAATTCCTGGATACAGGATAAGAAAGGCACCAGAATGTCATGTCATGTTTGCCAACTTTATTGTGAATATATGTACAAAGTCCCATCACCACACAATATACACATCAGGTTTTCTCCTGCATCCACTATGTACAAGACCGGACCAACCACATCACAAACACTCACGTAATCAAAGTTTGTAAACTGTAAAAACGGTTAGTGTATGTCCAAAAGCTTAGTAGGTACAGAAACATTGTGGCTTGCAAAGGCAATGGCAAACTGCAGTTCTTTCACGAGAACATTGCTTTGTAATGTTGCGTATGTCTCGTTACACTTGGAAAATGCTACAACTAGCATAAAGATATAGTACCTATGTTTTGTAGCCCAAAAATGAATGAAATGACGATGCTAGTTCTGACAGCTAGAAGAGAAAAACAAGGAAATCAACCATTTTTATGTTCACATTCTCCAGTCGGTTAACAAACCTCATACCTGCCTTATTTTTGCAATACTAAAATGTTCTGCTAAAAGAAGTCCTTGTTTTAATACTGACTTCAAATGTCAAAAAATACAAACTGAAACTTCATTAACAAGCAATAATGAAACTATCAATAATTATTAAATGAAAAAAATGTTAAAATTTACCATCATTATATAATAAATCTGCACCTTAAAATAGCCAGAGTTCACTGCTGTCCCCAAACAGATTGATGACTACAGAACTCGGAATTGAATGGTACCAATTTATATACTATTTTGAATAGGTTTCTTTTAGAAGGGTGTAGAGAGAATTTGCTCTACTTTCCTTTGGCGTAACCTAAGAAATCCATGTTTCTATTTTCTATTAAAAAAAAGAGAGCAATTGCACTTTGGCCCCTTGAAACAGTTCGACACAAACAACACGCATTGTTTCCCAGGCATAGAATGCAAAATAACAGCTCTCTACGCAGCACTAAGCTAAGTATATTCCAAAAGCAAATTCTCGTTTTTCTGGTCCCTCCTTAGGTAGGCGATGGCATGTTGCGAGAAGCATGAGAGGAATACAGTTAAAAATGACGGTCATCACTAACGAGTTCTGTATGAAGTGTGAATAAAGAGGTAATACAAAAGACTTCCTCATCGCACTGGTACAAATATATATATTAAAAGAGTTCTGACATTTGGCATGTGGCAGTGACACGAGTTTAAGGGCTACAATGTCAAACTGCTAATAAAACTTGCATGGGAATGAAATGAACTCCCGTTTGTTTGATGGCAGGAACACTGTGTGAGACGTGCTTAAAAAAACGGGGAACACGAATGCAACATACGATAACAACACACATAATAATAATAAAGAAACTGCTCTCGCCCAAGCTCAGAATGTGCTGGTAGATGAGTTTCCTGCCCTGCACTTAAATACTAAAATACCGCACATTGTCTCTAACCCTGGATACTGCCTCTGTAACAGCTCATAAATTACAAATTAGCCTGACATACTTCTTTCATGCCCTACAATAAAAAGACAATAATCTGTTTATTATATACTCCTTAGCATACATTTTCAACATCTATGAAGCCACTGAGATGTTAGTGACAAACAAAAAGTCTGATTTTATTGGCTACCTTGCTGGCATTCCCTGCTGACAGAGCTGAAACATTGTTTTGTGTAATTAAGGTTCTTGTAACCTTAAGGAAAGACAAATAAACATTAAAACTGAACTACATAAGACAAACAACTCTTAGTGTCCTTTGTTAAGCTTGAAGGTGAAATATAAAATATTTTATATACCTATCGCAATAAAATACCCCCAAAAAAATTAAAAAGGAAATTTATGTATCATGTAGAAAGAAGGAATCCAAGAATAATAATATATCTATCAGATTTTGGTGTCATGTTCCAAACTGCATACAGGCTTGTAGAAGTAACTTTATCTATTACTCCCTAAATGAATGTATTAGCAAAATCTTTTGAATGAGCCATCATTAGATTTCCCACACCCATTTTTGCATAGCGTGGCATATCTTCCAAGAGAAAAACCAAAAATCTCTTGTTGTTCTTAAGATATCATATACCATGGTTGCACATCCTGCACCTCTATTTCACCCTAAACTGGCAGATTTCAATCCGGCATACAGACTGCAGTGGTACAACCATGGGCGACAGAAAAACAAGAGGCCTACTTCGTGCTTTCCTCGCATAAAAAACTTGCATATGATGTACAAGAGCGGGCACGAGGCACCCATACAACAAACAACGATAAAATGTACAATTAAGAAAAGAAAGACCACAAAGGTCTCGTTCAAGGTTATTTACACGAGACGGCACGAACGAAAGGGATACGTAATGATTGGCTTTCTTTCCTGGCCATTATACACTTTGTAACGATACCCGGAAGATTTTAAATGAGCAGGCTCCTGGCACAGTGCGAGCCTTACAGTCTCGCTAATAAGAAGCTGGTAAACACAAAAGGAGAGCTCGGACCTTTCGCCGACGCTTTCGGAGGCATAAAAACAAATATTTCTAATGAGCGTAGTATCAAGGCCCCCAAACATTCTAAAACAGCCTTTTTTCTTTGTACTGTTGGTCCTATCGATGTCAATGCTCGATTCTTTAAGAAGTCTGGACAAATTATATGAAATAGGGTTAAAAAAATTCTCGTACATACACCAACCTAGCCTCTCGAGGGAGATGAACTAAACGCGGGAGAATAAAATATTACGGTCGCGGACAGAATGAGAGTGGCAGGGCGCGTCTTTTGAACGCCTGGCTTGCAGCACATGCTTTGTGCCTTCCGCCGCGCATCGGCTAGGTGAACCAGACGCCGAAGCGTAGTTGAAGGCAGAGTGTTTGCGCTGGAGGCGGGACAGCCGAAGCTCCTGCCAGTCTTTCTCACCTTGTCAGAAACTAAAACAACAATCGCTGTCAAAAAAAAAAAAAAAAAAGCCATCTCAGAAACAATTTGTCGAGCAATTCCTTGTGGTCACAACTGCGAGGGTATGGGAGACCGGGAGACCTTAAGCTACGGAAGACTGGCAGAAGACGGAAGACGAGCTCGTACAACTGCAGAAGTTCCCCCCCTTGGCTTCTCTAAAATGTGAGAGGAACATGTCCTCACGTTTCGCTTAAAATGCTGGCATCGGACTTCGGCCGTCCACGGGGCTGGCCAAGCAAAAGCGGCAGCTTCAGCCGACCTTTGGCTTTAAAAAGAAAAGAAGAACAAACCCATGAGGAAAAAAACAACCACGCGCATGGGGTTCTGTCCTTTCATTTCGGAAGAGAGAGCGCGGGCAAGACGCAGGGAGACGCGAAGAAACACAACCTAGGACGACGACGACGACGACAAAAAATATTTAAAATGGACTAGGTAGAGACTGGAGCCGCCGAATAAGCTACGCTTTGGAGTAACGACGCCTCAGTCACCTCGGTGCATAAAATCGTCGTTACCAGTTGTCCGGAAGTTTATCTGAAATCGCAGGAGGTGGTTTTCCGTCCTTCGGAAACGTTAAAACAGTCCACGATGGAGCAAAACGACATCACATCGGCTTCTCAGCAACGCATTTCAAGCTCGGGAAGCCAGATTTACAAATTGTTGCGATCGCCAATTGCACCAGCTGGGCACTAAGCCCGCAAGAAAATCAAGGGGTGGAGTGCCTATACTCCGAGCGTAGATTATCAAGCGGTTCTAGCAGGGACGATGCACGACGGAAGCAGGCGGGTGCGTCAGTCCGTGGCCTGGACAATTTCACGGGCCTCCGAGTTGCTCAGGGCAAACCCCGCCGCTCTCCGGCGCAGGAAGAAGTAGAGGATGCCCGCCTGCGCCATGACGTCCACGGTACTGGTGGTGAGCAGGTCGCTGGGGCTCTGGCTGGCCGCATTGCTGCACGGACGAATGATGGATGGCCCGAACACAGTGGCCAAGTTGTGCAGGGACATCTTGTTCTGTGCCTCGTTCTGGTTGATCCTGAAACAGGCGACTGCCTTGAGCCGGCAGTGCTCCTCCGTTCCGGCCCGGGAGCGCGAGAGACCCGCGCCGGCGGAGTGAAACGCGAGATTGCCCTCGAGCGGAAGACGCCACCTACAGACACTTTGTCTGTATTTCTCCGCACCATATATTCCGGTCCAACACCTTCAAAGTTGGGAAATTTTATGCGGAGCGATTTATCTACAGGTGCAGATGTGCGTGGCTTTTTCGGAATTGTTCGTTACAACAAGACGTGACAAATCTTGTGAATGACAGTTGTGTCACTATTTCTGTACGATACAAGTTGCTCTGTGTACTAAAAATGACCGCATCTCCATGTGGTGAATGATGTTGATTGGGGCGAAGCTCTGGTGGTGCTGATGATACTGATTTTATTGTTCATAGGTAGTGCTGAGTTCCAAGTTGCGTTTCGACTTCATTTTTACTGCTTTATGGTCGGTGAAATGCAGAGCCAGTGGTTCTTCTAGCGGATCAGCTTGGATCTGCTAGAAGCTGTGGGAACGCATCTCCACTGTCAACGATCCATGTCAAAAAGAGAATGTGTGGTATGGAACGTGGTTATATACGCATTTGAGCATTTGAACGCAGCGCCCTCTCGTCTATAAACGTTGAGCCAATGCATGCAAAGTTTAACGCGGTTATATACGCATTTGACCGCAGCGCCCTCTCCTGTATAGACATTGAGCGGCTACATGCAACGTTTCATCCATGACAGAAACCCCAGCTCTTGAGTTACTACCACATCTCAGAACCCCCTACTCGTCCCGCAGTCGTGGCCGAGTGGTTAAGGCGATGGACTAGAAATCCATTGGGGTCTCCCCGCACAGGTTCGAATCCTGTCAACTGCGCAAACATTTTTTCTTTTTATGTGAGGACGGACGGACGGACAAGGCTAGACCCTAAGGAACTTCGCCCCTAATAAAGCGGGAATTGCTTGTGGTGCGCAGCGTATGAGAATTTGTTTACATACGGACCACGCACCACGTTTAGACTAAGCACCCACTGGTTGCACACTATCTAGGAAAAAGGCTTTTTTTTTTGTTTCGGCTGAAATTTGACCTTGTGGACTATATGGTTTGTGCGAACTACAGTCCGTGCCCAGTATATATGACGGATCGTAGTGAACGTTACGAGTGATTCCAGTTAATCCAATGCTGGGAACAAATCACTCGAACTATGTGCCCGTACGTCGCTGCACACTCCCCAAAGGTCAAGTGAGACTCATACAAGACTGGATTGGCTTAGATGGCTTGTAGCACTCTCCACAGTTCACTGCAAGGTGAAACCAAGTATAATAAACTGGTTTCAACAGGACTTGTGCATCAATGCAGGAGTTATTACTCCATTCGTCGAAGATACTAGGCCACAGTTTTAGTAGACTGAGGGGCTTTTTAGATCTGCCTAAAAAAGCCCATTAAATGCTTACAGTATTCACTAGGGCTGGGCATTTGATAGATTAATCTTCTAATTAATTAATTAATGCTTTAATCGTGATAAAATTTTCTTTAGCCGGATAACTGGCTGAGAAGATATTGTGGAAATTTGCTGGAAAAAATATGTCCGCTTTCTTAGTTGGCGCTCATATTTTTGTTCTAGGAGGCAGTGCTGTTGTATTCCACGGTACATCTCTTCAGCATATTCCATAGGATTGTCAGCCAGAGCGATTGTAAGCTAAAATAATAATGTAAGAAAGCTAATAAAATTACACTTTTTTAGATACTATGCGATCACTGGATTAATTAATCAATGAATGGGTAGCGTTTGATCGGGTTAAAATTCTTAATCAATGCCCAGCCCTGGTATTCACCAGTTCAGCCAAATTTGAGAAGTCTACAATAGCGCTCCCAGGATTTTTAAGTGTTGTGCGGAAGTTTAGTAGCACAGCCAGAAGAACAAATATAACGGAGGAAAAGTTTGACTTTTGAGAAGGGATGTGCATATAGAAATATTTTCGAACTATGCCGTACACCAGCCAGTGGGAGCTTATCCATCAATTCACTGCTACAGACTTACAGGCTTTGCTCCATGGGACAGGGGAATTTAGATGCCGTTTGGCACGGCTCCAAGAGCTGATAACGCCGGTTCGCTCCATGGGACAGTTAATGCTTTTGCATTCAAACTCCCTCTCGCATCAAGAAAGGATAGATTCATTTAGAGTAACTTTCTGATCTGAGAGAAGCATTTTCTTATTTATTCTGAAGTGATAAATGTCTACCTTCTCTGTTATCCAAGTATAGTTAACGAAAATAAATACAGTTCTAATCACGATCATAGTAAGCCTTCTAGATGCCTAGCAACAACAAATGGTGAATTCAACTAGAAATACACAATAAGATGGTGAAAAGAAATGGTGGTGACAAGGATCAAAACAAAAATGCTTTCTTACTTGACCATGTGGTCGATCAGAAACAAGGTGACATGCTGGTTTACTTCTGGCAGTTTGTTGAACAAGTTGAGCAGCATGGTCTTTTTCTCCTCTTGGTCATGTTTGCCTGAAAAAGTAAAGGCGACCAAAAAATACTCCCAATCGACCCAAAACCACAGTGTAAAGCACAAAATCTAGCCCCACTTTTGTGATGGAGCAACATGCAAGCTAAAGGTAGGCTTAACATTTTCAGTGCTCTTTCCACTTTCAAGTGTAAACAAAAGACTGGAAATTAAAGTTACTGTGTTTATCCCTTGACCGTAAGACAAGAAGAACTTGAATTACAGGCCTCTTAGGCTCGTCGAGCCGGTTCTGCCATTTCTCTCATCCGACTCAAGGAAATGCTTGAAGGCCCCTCCACCTTGCATAAAAGTGACACAAACTTCATAAAGAAATGGGCCCAAATCACTGTTACCGCCACGCTGATTCTCAAAGAAATATGTTAGCATTTCGCGCAGCGGCTATGTATCACAAAGCATGATGAATGCAGACTCTTGGCAATTTTTTGCGGGGTGAACATTTACAAAACCCCTCTTCTCTCTAGTGCAAGCAGATTGGGTCACTTAACACAGAAAACGGCGGAGCCATTTCGTTCTTGTGCGTGCATGTTGTGCATACAGGGGTGACAACACCATGCACTTACGGCCCAGTGACATGGTAACTGCGTGAAGAACGGTATGGCAGGTCGAAGAATGGAACGTACTGCAGCCCATATGCATCCACAGGTCTCAAAAGCCAGCGCATTAGCTCCCAAGGGTGTCCAAAGCACGCACCCGCACCTCGGCTGCTTATTTCAAGAGGCTAGCGATAGGTCGCATAGCAAGGGCAGCCGCGCAGGATTGGCTGGCTATGGAGAGGGACGGCATGACGTAACACCCAGCAACTGAGGCGCAGTGGGGGACGCCGGGACTGGGGCGTACTTGGGCCGCCGGTGGGGCGCCGCCGGGTGGCATATACGGGTGGCCCGAGGTGGGATAATATTTTGTAATGAGCCATCTGCAGAATGTCGCCAAAAAAGCGGCCTGAACGGGGGGCCGGGGTGCGTTAACACGCGCACCAGTGATACACCTGCGATCCCCCACTGCGCGGCACCGAGATTGGCAATGGAGGACGTTGCTGACAATCTTCTGTTGCGTCAGGGCGTCACTCCTTATAACCAGCCAATCGAGTGTGGCCTCCATTGACATGCATCCTATCGTCTAGCTTCTCAAAATATGCACCCCGCCACCATCTGTTGGCGCTTGCAGGAGGTGTTTCCTAGCCAGTTTCCACAGCCAGTGGTACTGTGGCACCACCCCGTGACAGTGTTGTGAACTTCGAATACTCCAAACCATCCAAGGTTGGCGCATGTACGTACCAGTGCACTAATGCTAACACATTAAAATATGTTTGATCGAGTAAGCTGCAATGTGTAGGTAGCAATAGCCTTCTGAAGTGACTTCAACAAAGAAGCCTGTGTAACCCAGAGTGTGGCAGTTGCACTGGCTAGAACGTTACAATGTATTGGAGCATCCTACCAGACAAGCTCTTATGCCATTTTTTATGTCTCCTTGTTTCACGAACAAAGAATGTCATCTTAGAGAATTCTCTGCAGTGTAAACAAGCTAATTCAAAGCACGCATGAACATTAAAAAGAATTGTTATAGGTGCCTCAGTTGTACCAAGGTACAGCACAGGAATCTTCATTTTACAGAACTTAGTTGCTCTAGTCATTTGTATGAGTTGATTCATGCCCATAATCATTGTTAATGCACCCCGCGAAATCCACATGCCTAGAATGCACAAGGTTTCCACCTTTTAAAGGTTTGAGTGTGCTGCAGAGGAATAGAGACGACTTACTGAATGCTTCGAAGAACCTTGGGTAGAGGCCATCCGTGAAGAGAGCCTCCGGTAGTTCACGTAGGTACAGCTTCAGCAAACCCGTTACGTTGTTGATGTCCACCTCCTTAAGCAGCTGCTCCGCTTCATAGGGGTCTGAAGGATCGGGGAAAAAAAGGAGTCCATGTTTGAGAGAACCACCACCCAAACTACTAATTGTAAACCCACATTGATTCAATGTCATGGTCGGATGGATTGTGTTCAGAAGGCCAAGCAGGCACCCATACATTTCTATAATGCAAAATAACACTTTTATTACCGTAAAATATACTGTACATGCGCCCATGTCACAATAAGTGCCTACCACCTACTTCTCAAACATTTTCATATATTAGTAAAAGACGTACGCAGCACCTAATTCAGAATACTTTTGAGCCCCCCGAGCTGACAGAGGTGTTCCTCTGCGTCAGCTTCTTCACCAAGAAGGAAGTGCATGCAAAGCGGTGAAGTCTTATGCGCATACTTTGGTGCGAAGTGGTAAAGCTTGAAGTTACAGTGCTGGCGCAAAGTAGGCTTGACAAAAGTGGTGTGGCTGCTTTAAAAATTAGAGGCTCCGTCTCTGATTTTTAAACAAGGCCAATCCTACCACGTGCAACTACCACTTTTCGGCTCTCAGACCTAACAAGAGCTCATCCCCATTTTTTTGTGATAATCTTTAGCTTTTGCACAGGTGCTTGCTCTGAATTTTACGGTTACAGAAGGACTCCACATCATACAGCCTGATCCGAGTGAATGAGGATGGGCACATCACATGTTGCAGCCAATCACCACAGTGGAAGAGCCAGCTCGGCGACCCCCCGAATGGCAAAACACGTATCATTTCGGTCTCTTGCTACAAAGCTGATTGTATGCCAGCAATGTACAAATCAGAATATGCTTAGGTCGGTCCTTACTTCAAAATTGGGCCGGAAAATAAAATAGTAAAGCATCATCTTTTACCCTGGACACTGGCAGAAAAGCTATCACAGTCACTTGTCACTTGTGCTGCTTTCGCGCTTCCCCCACTTCGTTCACTGCTTCTCCCTGAGCGGACTAGTTGATGTCTACGGATTTATTCAAAAAAAGGTATTTTGCGTGAAAATGAGGTTCCTCATCTATAGGGTGTGAGCCTTGATACCCTATAGATGGGCGTCAGCTTATTGTAGCCTTAAAAAATTTTGGCGTTCTCTTTGGCATTTTCGAAGGCGTTCAAATGCACAGCGTTATTAGGGCCTTTTCATACTACTCCTTCTGCGGGCGCGGTAACGAGGCCACAGAAAAGCATATTGCAAACATTTTTGAAGATATAAAGTTGTCACAATGTCACGCGATGTGACCTTACGATGTCATGTCATGATGTCACCTGACATCACATGATGCGACGCCAGGTCACGTCATGCGACACCATGATATCCCAGTGCTGGTTGACGCCATAAAGGACCTAGCAATGCTATGCACTTAGACCACTTTTGGAATAATGCCACAGTGCACATTAGCAATTCTGCAAATGAAGAAGCAAGGAGATGGCTCTATTGACAACAGAACTCAAAAGAGTCGACACAAGCTTACTTTGTTTTCCCCTTTTTTAAACTGCCGTGGGTGGCGTCTGCCAGGGTCAGTTCTGCTGCCAACGAGCCAACTTCTGAAGTGTTGCCTTGTGCCAACTCCGTATAAAGACCAGCATGTATAAAAATCAAGCACCAGCCGATCACAATGCAAGAGAAGTTGAGTGAACCAGAAAACACTGCCTCCACGTCTAAAAACACACGGGACAAAGGTTTCCAGCAGGAATTCTGGTGAAATTTCGAGCTAGAAGTTATGTCATGTTAAACCACACATAGCACACTTTGACTTCTGCGGCACCGTAACGACAAAAAACTTCTGGGAATCCCCCTTGGACACATAGGACTAGACTAAGAACAATTAGCTGTACAGATAACACGAGGTCGCTGCCATACTACGCAAGTAGTACAGCAGCGCAAGTTCGGTAGAAGTGGCCCTACGTACCGTTCTCAAAAGTCCTCTTGAGCCTCTGGAGGTCGGAAGCCGACCCGGAGACCCTGTAGATGCCCACCTCGTTGATGCCCCTTCGCTCCACCTCCCTCACGCAGGTCGTAATCACAAAGGGTACCGCACTCTTTTCTTTCCTGAAACGGGTACGGAGAAGCATGAGAAAGACGCGCAACTCTGCACCATGGCAGAACCAAACACAGGACAACGCTACAGACACTGACAGGGTATTTATGCTCGCCAAGGTTTTCATTTGTACATGACATACGACAGCCCAACTACCCAGAACAGAATTTGCGGCTCGAAATTCGTTTTCTTTCCCCCCGAAAAACGCCGATTGAGAAATGGCCGGTTTGAATCACGCTCACTCTCTTTTCCATGGTCACGTGCTAATCTCTATGGTTTAGACACAGATCCGAAATATAATCAAAGTCGTAGGTCATCCCAGGCACACACTCAATATTAAAACTAGAAAGAAATATGAAACCCATTAAAAAAGTTGCACAGAGCACTGGAAGCACTCCGTGCATTCTCTGCATAATTCTGAATTCTGCAGGGAAGCTGAATGAAGCAGACTAGGCGATGGCAGGGGACGATGGGTGCGGGACCTCTACTTCAGAAGTGTTGTTCGCGGTACTGGCGAATTTGTATAGCTTCAAAAGAGAAATCTTTTACCGATCAAAACCATTGAGATTTATTCCGTACGACACGCCCGACCACCAAGCTGATCCTCACGAAGACGTCGCTGAGTCGTTGAAACTTCTCCTGGCTGAAGACATTGCTCGTCTTACAAACACGAATTACCGTATAATTGCGTGTAAGGGCCGCACCCCCATATTTAGGACAAAATATTGCAGAAAACAAAATTAGAGAAATTATTCGTGTATGCGCCGCACCCCCTTGTTTTTGAGGCGCGCCGGCTGTAATGCATGAAAGTTTCTATGAATATATATCGCTAGGTGGCGCTAGCCACCGCCCGAGCATGGAGCGGCACGTCTCCGCATCCCCGATATTTGCTCTCCACCCATCCGTATCACCGTATAGCACAATGGCTGCCGACCTCGATTGTGGTCAGCCGCACCGTCGGGATGCGTTTATGTTGCGGCCAGAAGACATTGAGAAAAGTTATAGGATATGTCAGCTTCCATGGCAAGCGCGAGGAATGGGGATTCAGCAGGCTCGGCTCACGCGTGCACTCAGGTTTCTGAACGCCACTGTACGCTCTGGGGAGATTTTCTTTTGTTCTTCAATTCGTGTCAAAGCGTCATGATTTGTCTGCCTTTTCGCGCAATCAGAGCTATGGGCAAGCACCACTTCAACAGTCATACGGCATTCTAGTCGAAAGTTGCCGCGCATGCTATCAAGTACAAAAAAAAAAAAAAAGAAAGATGCGTATCGCACAGTATGTAAACTAATTAAATCCGACTGACGAATCAGTCCGGATTCCGGAGTGAAGGCATTTTCGACCAGTGCAGCCGAGCGCACTCATGTACGTTCATTTCGAAATGTGGATACAGATTTTTTTTTTTAATCCGTGTATGGCGGCCGCACCTTGAAAATTTGCCCTCAAATCGGGAAAAAATTGTGCGGCCCTTACACGAGTTTATACGGTAGTAAGAGCTTGAAAAATGCACAATTTTTGTCTGCTTCGCAAGAAAAACAAAGAAAAAATAAATGCGGTTAGGTGTAGCCTTATGACTCCCAGCACTCCTCTCCTACATTTATTCTTTCCTTCCCAGCTCAGTCTTGGCATCGGTTTCGCGCAGTTGCATTTCTTTTTTTGCTTTATTAAGAATATATGTGATCGTAATGGAACAGCGTGAATTTTGCAAAGACAGAAGAAGTAACTGGACAGAAGGTGTGAATATATTTGAAGCTGTAGGAAAGTATTGATTGAGTAGTCTTCTGACACCATATTAAATCGCGTGGCAAAAAAACACAAAAATTTATTTTGGGGGGTGTCACTGTCCCTTTAGGGGGGTTCAGACATTTGCTTTTGAAAGCGAGCGACTGCATAGCAACCGCTTACGACACCTAGCGACAAGATAACACACTGATGTCAATTGTCGAGTAGTCCCGGCCCACATACGGTCTGCTTATACCACATTTTCTCGCGTATAACCCGCATAAATATTTAGAGAAAATTGAAGGCATAGTTGGGGTGCGGGTTACACGTGAATTTTGGCAAGCACTGCACCTTCAAGGCAATTCGCGCGAAGTCTTAAGGGTAAATTCCCCAGTGTCCTTCTTCTCCGGTCTCTCCTAGGGACTTTCTTATCCCCACCTTCTCCTCTCTTCTTTCGGATAGCTATCTTTGCTTTGTTTCTGCGAGCTCTGAGACATCAATCGCCACTCCGCGTTGTTGTCAGATCCATTGCAGGAGAGATCGGAAACCGAGTGGCAGGCCAGAAGTATGGCTGCTACAACGTTGACGAGTCGTGCGTGCGAGAATGGAGAAAAAATAAAAATCTGCAAAGTGCAAGCCGCGAATGAAGATTGTTCTGCGATCCAAAGACGAAAAATTGATGCCACGTGACCTCAACCCCAATTCAGTTTCCCCACTAAATTTAGCGGGCAAAATGACATCACATGACTTGATGTCACGCCACCTACGCACAAATTCAGTTTCTCTGCTAGATTTAGCAGGAAAATTGGCGTCATATGACCTCAACACCAATTCGGTTCCCCGCTAAATTTAGAGGGGGATTGAATTGGTGTTGAGGTCATGTGACGTCAATTTCCTGCTAAATCTAGTAGAGAAACTGAATTCGTCCACTAAATATAGCGGAGAAACTGAAGTTCCTGCTAAATATACCGCAGTTACACCAACGCCGACGCCAAAGCCGATGCCGCGAAACCCAGAAACAGGTGCCTAAGAGCTGCGCTCTAAAACTGGCTCTTCTAGAACACACCGCATGCACTCAGCGAACCCGTTCTCCAAAGTCTCAACGCTGTCAATATAGTGTAAAATAATGCAGAAAGGCAAGTCTGTACGAATTGAACTCTGCAGCAGGTGTTCCCAAACTTTCTGATCTTGAGGAACAACCCTGCCTCGAATGGCGACGGAGGAACCCCTCCCAGTCTCGTCTCGATGCACCAAAGCGGTGCAGAGGACTACGGACCTTGTAAAATATTAGTGGATATACTAGGAAGTGTGACGCATAGTTAGACACTAATGGATGACTGTGATCTGTACTTAAACCAAGAAAACACTTTACTTAGGGGCCAGGACGGTCGAGAAATTTCGGCAGGTCGGGGAGCCATAAAGACCCTTGGGATCCTAGGGACACAGTCTTAGAACCCACGGTCAAATGAAAGCTCGAGTTTCAGGTTCAGGTCAAGAATGCATGTTTTAAACCAGGAAAAAGTACATCCTACGTGGCAAGTTCTATGCTAAAGTGTCATTTATCAACTGACCTCTGTCTGCACCAAACAAAAATACTGCTCTAAGGTGTTGCCCTAAACCAAGTTTAACGTTTAAAATTTGACGCCATAACCAGGTACTTCGGCATTGTTCCATAAGAAAACGACCTAAAGGGGCCAACCACAGAACCGAATTGCTGGGCACCAAACCGGTTTCTATAGTTTCCTTCCCTTCATCTTCTTTCGCAGTCTTCTCTCCTCGACCAACAGGAGTCAGTTTTTGAGCTCCTGTTGGTAGAGGTTCCCGAAAGGGAAGAGGAGGGTCTCCCTCTTTCTCGAATGGAAAGGATGAATTGAGGGAGTTTCCTCCTTTTTGGTTGCTCGTTGGCCTTTAAGACAGATCATGAGAGGGGCATATCAGAAACAAAAGCCTTATTGCACTAATAAAAACGAGTAAATATTGCTGCCAGTGAGAGAAAAGGCTCTAAAATCTTACAAAATTGGACAAGGTTCATACGACTATCTGGCACCCTATTTATCATGACGCTATCTAAATTCCCTTCATCATGAACAACTATATCAACCCTCTTTCCTGCTTTGTTGCCAATGTCGTTTGATTTAGACACCTCCCTGCAGTCTGTACTTGCTGACAAAAAAACAAAAAAAGCCCAAAACATCAGTCTTGTTTTTATTTGAGGCTTCTGATGTTTGTCATTTCAGTGCACCACAGTAAAAAAAAATTGAAAAAAACAAAAAAACTTGTAGTTAGCAATTTCAGAAAATACTGAGAAAAGCAGAACCCACTTATGAGGCTTTGCAAATTTATTGTAGTATAACTTCTAGTGGCAACCTCCAATGCAACTGGCGAGCTAGAGAAAGGCAATGAGGAATAGTGCACTTACTTGCAAACCTGTTGCACCTTCATGCCGAAGGACCCAACGGGTTTACACGATGGCACCCTCTGCAAGCCAACGTCCGAGGAGCTGTACTTGATGCTGAGGTTGAGCGTGCACTGCAAGACGGCGAGAAGAAGGAAGCAACTAGTCAGAGGGCAGACAGCCTTGTCTTTACGTAAGTACTACTAATACTCATCCAATTATCCATTAATAGTTTTGTAAGAACAAAATGTTACATCTCATAGCTTCTAACTATAGAGTCGTCTCCAAGCATTCATTAATCTCTAAAATCTGGTGATATGAAAAGTGAATTGTTTCATGAGGATCCAAGTCGAATTTTTTATAGTGACCATTCCGGCTCCCCTTTGAGTGTGCATTCGATAGCAACACAAATGCCCAAGTCCACAAGAAAAAAAATGTGTGGTACTAGTACATGACAATGCAGGTCCCCACGGCACTTGAGATATTTCAACTCAATAGCGTGGAGCGAAAGCTCGTGCTACAGAACCCAAGGATCCTGGGTTCAATCCTTACCCCTGCCCGTTTCCTCAGCCAGGATGGCTGAGGAAATTTGGGAGCTTGGGGAACCCCTGAGGGTACTCTGGGGAACCCAGTTTGAGAGCTCATGTTTCCATAGATTATTCCAATAACTCCAATGACGAATAACGATATGATGCTTGTGCAAAGGCATGGGTGGAGTACCAGATATCATTATCGAAGGAACTGAAACGATCTAAACATAAACATATTCGATAAAAGTCTGGTTGAAACGACCTACTAAACCCACTAGCGCCTCCCTAACAAATAACAGTGTACAAAAAGGCTTTTTCTCTCTACATAAAGTAAAATGGTATACTTCTCTGGCTTCTATTTTCCAAATTGAAATTGCAGAAATTATGTTGAGGATTCATTTATTGGTGTTGTTCATTATACGCCACAAGAAAGGAAGTTGTCATCCTCCAGCATTTCCTTTCATCAGTGATGAAAAGTGGTGCAAGATACACAACACCAAAGATTTGTTGAACGGGCTTGCCACCCTCCAAACTTTTACAGGTGGCATACTAAGACTTAGAGAGGACATAATCAGCCTTCGAGACAGGATGAAGTTATGCGCAGCAATGAATGTGAAAGGGCGTGCTCTGCAACGTCATCGGCAAAACGAAACGGGATAGGCCAAGGGATATGGCCGACCTCTTGCAGGCTGAAGGACTTCTCCTGGTACTTGTCCGTGAGCCAGGAGCGACTCATCTCGAAGGCCGCCTTGCCCCGCAGTACGGTCGCGGTGGTGCCGTTGCTCGTGTGCTCCTCGTAGCACAGGATCCGGAGCGTCTGGGAGCCGTCCAGGTCAATGACCACCTCCTGCAAGCATCCAGAGATGACCAATGTATAGCCACAAACATGTACTGCACGACACTGTTAGTGCGAGCAAGACATTGGTACTCTTTCAGAATTTAATTCGAAAGAGTATTGGCGGGCGCCACATTTTGAAGCTTAAGGCTCTTTAACACACTTCCGAGTACTTGGGACCGTGTGCCTTGAAACCCCTTAAGATCTCCTACGACCTCTGCACCAGTGAAATGCAGGTCCAGGATCACCCATAAATGGCGCAAGGGTGCCAGCGTGTTCTCGCATCGTTAGGACACAAAAATTAAATGGGTAGATTTTTCTTGAAATGGAGTGTGCATAGGCTGCTTAGTATATAAACACCTTGCAATTTTTAGAGCACTAGTAATTGCAATATTCAATTTACAAATTTTGATCATTTTCATTCGGTGGCCATGCAGGCAACACAGCCCAAGTCAGTTACACCATGCTGCCCATAGTTCACATAACGATGAGCGCGCTTTCATTCTAAGCACCCCCACGATTACCCAAGCTCGCCACGCCGTGATACGATCCATACCGTTCACGCAAATCAGCTACTCTGATGCTATTCTCGCTCTCGCCGCCGGCCCTTTGACCTTCCACCATGCATACACCTATGAGATAGTCCTGGAAGACAGCGATCGAGGCGAGTTTGTCAGTGACTCGTCGTCGTTAGAGCTGGTCGACAGTGAGTCGCGGTCAAATGACCAGCTTTCCAACGTCTCTCGATAACAATCACAGTGATGTGATTGCCATAAGCCATTTTGGAGCACCTTTCGGAGCAGCCAAAACGGTGTTTTGGAGCAGCAAATGTGGACTTTGGAGCAACCAAAACACTGTTTCGGAGCAGCAAAAGTGGCTTTTGGAACAGCCAAGACAGTGTTTCGGAGCAGTAAAAGTGGCTTTTCGAGCAGATATTCTAGAGAAATAAAAATATTTGGTTTAAGTGCCGTACAAACGAAGGGGAGTTTGCGTTGTGTTCTGATGTGACGTGTTGTGGCGGAACTTGCTGCTTGTTTTTTTACAGCTGACACATTTCACAAGTGTGCAGTGCTGTAGACATTGCCGAGCAATTCGAAGGACCGCTTGCCACCATTTTACTGGTTCCCGACGTGCCAGATTTTTGTCAAAAGGAAGCAAATGTAAAACAATAATCTGCAAGCGTCCCGGCTGGGGCCTCTGTCGTGCAATCATGTTCGCATGCACACGAGGGCAATTTCAGCAGGCTTGCAGTTGCGCGTGCTTAGTCGCGCGAGCGGAGACAACGGCTGTTCGATCGAAACCGAAACCATTGCACTCTGCTCCGTCCCCAACCCATTCCCAAAATTGTATGCCAAATGTAACTGCCGAGCATACGACGAAAACCAGTCCAGCGGCGCGTGCTTGCCAGGCCAAGCTAGACAAAAAAAATAAATAAATAAATAACCTGAGCGCATCGATGCAAGACATCGCGAGCCAGAGTGAAAAAAGTTATTGGAGCAGCTTGTGCGAGGACGGAACATGAGACAAACAAGCGCGCTGTGCGGGTTCAGCGTGCAGACATTGCCTTCTTTGCTTTAGCTCCCTTCTCTTCACAAACTTTCTTTCGCGGCAGATTTTTCAAATACCGGGGTCCCTCTCCAAAAAAAGCCCACCGAGAGAAACCTAGGTAATCAATACTTCAACAAAGAAGACTTTGAATTAAAGAGGTATTTTCGTAGTAACGTGATTTAAACAAAAACAGGAATGTTGATGAACATGCGGCAGTACTTAGTTTTATTTTAGAAAGCGCCATATCTGTGGCGCTTTCTAGGCCGCAGATATGGCGGCCTAGAAAGGACGGCAACACCCGACGTCGCGCGACTACGATGACTGGAAGGCAGGGACCAAATATAGTTATTTCGTGGCCGTTGCTTTCAGGAGCAAGTGCTCCAGCTCACAAAGTAACTCCTGCCTCGCAAAAATGTGGTTTCGTTTCACAGCATGACGGCATGGCTGGTACCCAGCACGCTAGCGTGGAAGCGTTTGCACACACCTGCGTCTATCGATGGAAATATTTCTAAAAAATACGCAAGACGAGAGCCACGAGACGACGAGAGCGCAAAACGCGAGACGGCGGGAAAACCATGCAAGACTGGATGGACAACTGATGCAGGGTACTTTTTGTTGGGCGGCCGCTTGCGCCACATAACACACGCATGCGCAATTACGGTACTCAATTTAGTTTCGATTTTGAAAGGCGACCGAAACTAGTTTTTTGGCGCAGGCTTGGCGCAGATTACCCATATTTTGCCAAAATGTAGCAGGATGTAGCAGGGTTAGCCCCTAGGCGCAGTTTGGCGCAGTTTGGCGCAATCGGCGCAGCAATCACATCACTGCAATCACTGTCATCCCTGCTGCGATCAGTGTCAAAGACTTTGTCAAAGCGAGTGATACCGTAGGTAATCGTCATGAATCGCACGCTCCAAACGTGGAAGGTAAACAAGGAAGCTCAAGCTCGAGACGCCAAGAGAGCCAAGTTTGTGAGCGCGTGCAAGAGGACGCCACACTTTGGGTAGCTGACATCACAAACCCAACAATCGCTGCGGCCTTTTCGAATGGGGCAGGTCCCAGGGTATCGCACATAAATCGATTTATCCACTAAACTATCGCGCCATTTTCAAAACAAATTTAGCAGAAATATAGGAACATGCAGTGGGCCCTATGAGTATAGTAGTTATCTCATATTTCATTTTTGGCGTTTCCTAGCCCCTTTAAGGCACACGGTCCTAAACAGTTACAAGTGTGTGAATGGGCCTCTAGAGTGGTGCCCCAAGTAAGCACAAGTAGTTTTGATGACAGCCTTTCTATTCTAAGCAGGGGTGTGTAAATATTCGAAACCGAATACTTCGTGAGTAATGCTTGGTATTCAGTTAGTTTCGCTTTGCACTTTCGCTGTTCGAAGTATTTGAGTTCTTTGAATACTTCAAAAACTATGAATAAGACGGAACTCGCTGATTAGTGTCGACTTGCGGTCTAGTTCCCTGTTGTGTTTTTGGACTGCACAGTATGGTTTCGAGTTGGCAAACCCAAAAAACCAACCTAAGTGCCTTTTTTTTTTGTATGAAACACTGGAAAGATATTTGTATGCGGTAACGCGATTTGGTCCTTTGCTTGCCATAATGTCTGGATTGCGGAGTTAGCGAAGTGGTCATGGCGCAAACGCTGCAATACATGTGATGAACGACGGCATGTGCATCGTCATGAGCACAAATGCAACAGACCACACTCACTACGGTCCTTCCTATTATAACTACAGTAGCCAAGGTGCTATGGATTCGGATACGGATTTACGGCTGACCTCAGCTACCGGTGATATCTGGCTCGTGTTATTCTCCACTTGATTTTCCGTTTCGTCAGTTTGCCAGTATTTCTTTTGTTATTTATTTCTACCCATTTTCACTGGTAAAAGTGAGACTTGCTCCCTTTCCAAATAAAAACACATATCCTTAATTTATTGCTTCTTTGTGGCGCCCTGTCGACAGAACTATTACACACGGAAAGAGATGGCACGAAGACAGTGCAGCTGCAAGGCGCGATTGCACGATCTCCAACTCTGCTGTGGTCTCCCGACCCACCTCCGCTTGTGTACTTCCGTTTATGTTCACGCGGTTGCGTTCACCCACGTAAAAAGATATTGCACAAAGTCAGTGCAGCTGCGCGACGTGATCTTCGACTTTGTACTGTGGCTTGCTGACTTGCCACCGCTTGTGTACTTTTTTTTACACTCACGTGGTTGCGTCCGTCCGCGACGCGACCTCTGACTGCGTTGTGGCTTGCCGACCCTCCTCCACTTGTGTACTTTCATCTATGCTCTGAAACTTCCCTCCTTGAATGCTGGTTTACTGGTGATCTTTTATTTCATCTGTTTTTAATCACTCAGGTATGTGACATTTTTCTTATTGCAATGAAAATAACCTTTTCATATATGTTTGTTGAAAAAAAAATTCCAGTTCTGTTTTGATTGAGCATTCTTGTTTAATTCACATCAAATAGAAAATATTTGTTTTCAAAAATGTTCTTATTCGAAAATATTTGATTCAATTCAATTCATAACCTTTATTATTCGATTCGATTCGAAAGATTTTGATATTCGCACACCTCTAATTCTAAGAGATAAAACTGGCGATCCATCGTTCACGCTAACTGTGTTGTGCTGAGTGCATGGCCAGCATTGATAGGGGCTCGCCAACTTGTTCTGACATGGTTCGCGAGACCCACACCAAATGTTTGTATCAATCTGCTAAGACAAGAGTTCCTAAACTTCTCCATCTTGAGGAACCCCTTATCTCTCTTCTCTGATAGTCCAAAAACCCCCCCTGGTCTCGGCACCGATTCAATAAAGCAGTGCAGAAACCTACTAACCATGTAGACAATAATGCACATGCATATACATGTTTGACCCATAGTGATGCATACTAGTTATGCATCAATGCATGGCTCAGGTATGCGAAAATAATAATGCTTAAACTGGAAAAACACTCGACTCGGGGGTAGGGACGGTTGTGGAAACTTTAGAGCTGGGGGAACCCTTGGGTATCTAGGAACCCATTTTGAATACTCATCTGCTAAGAAAAGTGCATAAAAATAAAAGGCAGTGCACTAGAGGCTTGTTTCATAAAACAATGCTTCTTAAGATGTTTGTGGTTGTGCTCGTGAACCTTTTCCATAATTTTTCAAACCCATTTTATGTAGGCGATTCTTGGTTAGCATTGTTCTTGGGGGTGGTCAATCTAAGAAGCATGGCAAGCAACTTTGCCAATGACGGAACACCAGAAGTACAGTTTGAGACATATATTCAGGAGGCATAAGCCCTTGCTTAGTCCTTTATTCTCCCCTTAGAAGTTTTTCCAACAATACGCCGGACCGGTGATGAGCCGACTGTCCCAACGTGAGCTCTGTTTTACTAATGACTGGTACCTGTGCACTAATGCGTCTTCAAATTTGCACTACTGAAGGAGACCGTACATATCACCTGGGATTGAGTTATAACATGCATTAGATGTGCCATAAGATACCGAGCATCCACCCATTCTACAATAAGCACCCACCCTCCAATTTCGTAGCATTCGAAAAATACATGGAAGACATATCTTTACATATTGTTCACATAAGAAGCACCCATCCCCCAGTTTTACACGATTCTCTCCAAACTTTGAGTGGGCGCTTGCTCGGAATTTTACGGCATTTGACCGTTCCAAGAGTGTCCTTCACAGGACTATGAACTAGCAAGAATTGCTAATTTGATTAGATAGCTTTTAAAAATCTGTCATATAGTGTGATCTAGAGTTTGTGATCTAAATCCTACATAAGTGGGCACTACACACATGCATACTATAGTCGGTTGCAAGCTAAGAAAAAACCGGAAATGCCTCTCAGAGGAAAATGTAATCCTACGCCGAGAAACGCAAGCCAATCGTTTTCATGACGCCACGACTCCGTGGACCAATCGCGATCCTTTTGAAAAAAAAAAAAGAGCTCAACATGGCTGCTGGCCTTAGCAATGCGACGCTAGTTTCTCGTGACAATTATTCTGCTTTTTTGCACCGTGTTTTACGTGCCCGAGGTTACGCCACGAAATCTTAATGGTATCGGCTTGCGTTTGCAGCAGTTTTTGCGCGACAAAGTGAGAATCCAGCAACGCTATCGCCAACGAAAATTTCGAAGCGGGCGCGAGGCTTAGCACTGCTGAGAGCTGGAAGATGGTATGTTAGACAGTATCTTGGACAGAAAATTAATTGGGAAGACGGTACATAGGACATGACTTTCTTTCTTTACTAAACAGCTATTTCGTTGACAAAAACGTATTCTAACTTATTTAAATGTCCTGAATGAATTAAATAAATATTGTAGTAGTTTAAGACACGTTTCCTGGAGGAAGAAAAAGCAACGTTGCTAGCGATCTACTTTCTCGACGGCGGAGGCACTTCAGATGGGCGCAATGCGCTTGTGGGTGGAGCTAAAAGATTGTTCTCAGGTTGCATCCGACTATAGTACTAGTAATAGATGCATGGCTCTGTTCTCACCTGGTTGAAGTTTGGCTCTAGAGTGTTCTGGCAGGTTTTTGTCCTGGCTTTCTTGAAGAAGTGGCCATAGGAGTCCACCTCGAAGCAGATGAAAATATCTGCAAGAGTGTAAAAAGCGGTTTTTCAGACATGGCCACTTTCATGTGCGAAGCACCAATAGTCTCTTCCCATTATTTGAAATGACCCATGCAAGTTTTAGGGGCGACGCTCCTTAGGGTCTAGCCTTGTCCGGCGTCCGTGCTCACATCGATTGCCATCCCAACTGTCTTTTTAAAAAAAGAAAAAATGTTTGCACAGGCGACAGAATTTGAACTTGTGCGGAGAGACCCCAATGGATTTCTAGTCCATCGCCTTAACCACTCGGCCACGACTGCGGGACGAGTAGAGGGCTCTGAGATGTGGTAGTAACTCAAGAGCTGGGGATGTCATGGATGAAACGTTGCATGTAGCCGCTCAACGTCTATACAGGAGAGGGCGCTGCGGTCAAATGCGTACTATATAATCGCATTAAACTTTGCATGCATTGGCTCAATGTTTATAGACGAGAGGGTGCTGCGGTCAAATGCTCAAATGTGTATATAACCACGTTCCTTACCACACATTCTCTTTCTGACATAGACCGTTGACTTAAGCGGTGGAGATGCGTTCTCACAGCTTCTAGCGGATCCAAGCTAATCCGCGGCTAGAAGAACCATTGGCTCTGCATTTCACCGACCATAAAGCAGTAATAATGAAGTCGAAACACAACGCGGAACTCAGCACTACCTCTGAGCAATAAAAGAAAAAATCAGCACCATCAGCACTACCTATCAACAATAAAATCAGTATCATCAGTACCACCAGAGCTTCGCCCCAATCAACATCATTCACCACGTGGAGATGCGGTCATTTTTTTTTTATTTCTCAGCTACAAGAAATCACTGGATGACTCCTGCACCTCATAAACAGCAATTTCCAGCAAAGAACATATCATCAATAAAAACATCAAGCCTAAAAAAAAGTACTTACCATAATATTTTGAGAGATGCACCCCCCCACCCCTGAAAGGTAACCCACCCCCATTTTCGGCCCGATTTGCCACTTTTGCAGAAACACCATAAGATAGCCCACTACTTGTAATTGCAGGGCACTGGCCAATAATGACCTCGGCAGAAATGGTGTTACTTGGCCATGGCGAGATGAACGAACATTGCCGACTGGGAAGGACAGTCGTCTTTGGTTCATTGCCCCTTCCTGCGATCACAAGTTTCACAGATCACAAAATCTAAAACCATCATTTTTTTTCTTTCACTTTTTTTATTGCACATTGAAAGCAAGCCCATTACCGTAAAATATTGTGGAAGCGCCCACTTTGTTCAAGCGCCCACTATTAACATTTCCCAAACTTGGGAATTCTGCTAATCATACGTTAAGCGCCAGATTTGACCAGACAAGCGCCCATGCCTAGATTGTCCCAGTTTTCAGTGAAAGTTGGGTGGGCGCTCCTCCGGTATTTTACGGTACTTATTTTCATCCGATTTGCCTTCGATTTCGGGTGGGCTATCTCTCAGCATATTACGGTATGCATTTGGAAATCATTACGCATCTGACACCGTGTTCCGGTCAGCTTTTTATTTTAGCAAAAACTTAAAGGAAAGAGGACGAAGTACATGAGCCACTGAAGGATCTAAGAAAACTTTTGCAGACAAGACTACACGAGATCTGTCTCTTCAAAATGCATAAAGCATGATTTATTTCAGTGGGTCTCAAATGGGGGTGCACGAAGCCCAGCCTCATCAGCCAAGCCCAACAGTAAAAGTTGTCTTTTCTCAGGTTGAGAAGAAACATTCCAATTTTCGGGCGAGTTTTCTCGTGTATATGCCAAAAAGAGAATTAACCTGAGACTGGGGAAGAAAAAAAACATCTAAACGTAGAAGGAACAGAAAATAGACAGGACGACGCCCTGTCTATTTTCTGTCCCTTCTACATTTAGATGTTTCTTCTCCACCCCAGTCTCAGGTTAATTCAACATGGTTAATATTCACCAGCTCGCCTGCACCCTTACGATTTTTTCAAAAAGAGAAGTCTACTTTACACTGCTCCTTAATTATATCCATTTATTAAATCACTATCATAATTAACCTATAGCTTTCCCTTTCCTTCACCACGAACGGGGTCATCGATCATCTCCACCGATCCACATGGGGTCAGCGAAACATCAATGGGTGAGAACCACTGATTTATATTTTTTAAAGGGCAACTCCGCTTCATTTTTGATATTTAGAAAACTATGTAGCTCTCTTCAGTATCATATAGGAAGACCCCACGTCAAATATTACGATCTAATTCTGGCTATATATTTAATAAACTGGCCAGCAAACATTCAAGTGAGCCAAGTCGCCGAAATCTGCCAACTCTAGCGTGCGACGTGAGGCGCAATCGTCAGCGCAGTCAATGCGACGGAGTTGGAGCGGCCAACGTCGAGCCACTAGGTCAGAGGCATGACTACGTCATTCTCACGTTTTGTTTCTCTTTACTTCTCAGAGCAAAATTGAACGATGACGTCATGAGTTTCTCCTCCCGGTGTTGGCTGACCGGGCGTCCACGTGATCACCGTAACGCGGATGCGCTAGTTTGCGCTGCCCTCCGCACTTATCGGTCTATTTCTCCGCTCCCCCTCTCCTCTTTCGTCTTCTCCCCTTCCCCCTCTTCCCCAGGCCATCACCGTCCACGCCATGCAAAGTGACCTGCCCGCGTCGCGCGTCCTGTACCTCGCCCCCTCCCGAATGTCACAAGATCACGTGGTTCGACGTGACGTGGCCAAGACTCTGACGACACGAGACCAATGTTGCCTCACGCAACAAGAAGTTTCAGTTTCGGTATCAGCTAATGTTTAAATTAGGATTACACAAATAATAGTCCACATTTCGCGAATCCGAAAACGTAGAGTTGTTTAGTAGTGCTTTGTGAAATGGAATCAGATGTAAGCCTAAATTTTTCGGAATTGAGCGGAGTTGCCCTTTAAGTAGTCTATTTTTTACCCAGATAAATAGGTCACTTCATTGAGTGTGTTGCACTTTTATACCAAGGAGCAGCTGCTATCTATTGGACATGTGGTAGCCAATATTCAGCGAGTATGAATTGTGCATGCACAATTCGACCAGATATTTATGAGTACACAAAATATCCGTGTCTGGATAGGGACCAAAATTAGGAATGTATGAACATTATGTATATATTATTGTTTTCACCAGTCCCTGTACGAAAGACTAAATAAATCTTTCCTTGTTTTCCTCGAATCTGCTCATTTTTGTTGAGCTTTCGAATAGCTCCTGTCCTAGTAATACTGATAAACAGATATGCAATTCAGGTCTCAATGATACTAATCTATACATCCATAAAATGAACTACATTGCTATTATTCCATTAGTGTTGTTCGTGATAAATGATCACTGGTGACTGGATGCTTCCTGCACTTCATCTGTGCAGATATAAATGCTTGTACTTATTGCTTGCACTTTTTTTGCTAAGACTAGCATCAGCAGTCATTAGAGACTGTCTCTTCTTATGTAATGCCTTCTGACATCACAAGATAAATAGCAAGAATGGCAAAAAAAAAGGCCTTTGTGATTCAAAGACAACTTCAAAGATAGTAGATAATCAAAAACAAATAAGAGAACTACAGAATTGAAACATCTGGTATTTTCTCAGCTCCATATCCGACTCTCTAGCAATGCATTTTCTCTTATTTCTTTCTTCCTTTTCTTTTTCTTTTTGCGAGTAAGGTTTTTAGATTAAGATCCTACATCCATTGTTTGATAGCCCATCTTCCTACAGTAGCCACTGCGAAAACATTATCCACATAATGAGTGAGATCCTCCAAATTCATTTCTGCAAACAAGGGTGTGAACCACAACTAAACTAACATTTTTAAGAAAAGGAACACCAATGTAACTGCAATCTGGCATCTGTGAGAACTTCATGAATAGCATGGCACACTGACCTGCTGGGCGGTTCAGCCCCTGGAGATTGTGCACTGTGATCAGCAGGTCACCCACCAGGAGGTCCTCATCTTTTGCTGCAGTGTGCACACACAAAAGCACTAGTCAATCTCAAATGCAACAGTTCACCTGCAAAGGGGTCACACAAGCTTAGACAGCACAACAATCAATGGCAGGAAGTAACATTATGCGACAAAAAATTATGGGCAATAAACTTATGTCTTCACTCTTCACTAAGAGAGATGAATATACAAACTAATAATATACTTAATTGATCAAGCTGCGAATCTGATTGCCTTCTAGATACCTAGATTTTTGTTTTGTTTTTAGTTTACTAGGATATAGCATGGTGATTTGAACCAGACTGCAGATCAACGAAGCGAACAAAAGTAAGCATATGAACTCCTTAAGGCAAATAGCACACACTTTCGACTGCAAGCATACATATATGGCTGAAGATGTCTTGAATAATATTTTTTTAGAGCTTCGAGGTCTGCAAACATTTTATATTACTAACCTACACTGTCCTTTGGTTGCTCTGTATCACAACTCTTGCTTAAACCCAGAAGACTAAATGGAACGGCCAGGATACCATATCTAGATTATGAGAATTTACATAAATGTGATATACTATACGTATCAGATTTTTTTTATTAATGTGATCGAACAGATTTCTTGAGACGCTCCTTACACCACAGCTACCCAACAATAGACGTCAAACTGCTCATGTCTGTCATGCAGCATGGTGGGATATAACATTTTGTGTGCATACTTTTGTTCAGAGGCTCTAACTCTAACATTTTCTGTTTCTGGTTGTACATACAATTTAATTGGTGAGAAAGGTAGTTCATATTACACCCTTGCAGGCTGTAGCTTCACCCAAACACGAGGTGGCTCAAACACGAAGTGGCTCAAGCAAAACTTTTAGAACAGGAAACAGATAGTTAAATACAAACAAACTTCAAAGAGCAATGACTAGAATAATGACACATTTGTGCTATGACACTTCAGCACCCTGTGATTGGAACTGAGTAAACTGAACATCTTGCTGCTTTAATTCTGTATAACTACTGGTAAACGGAATTGCACGGGTAGGCACCTGAACATCACAGCATGTCTCAGCGTGTGCTACTAGAATAAAAAAGCTGACAGAATAAAACGAAGAACAATGCATCACTCACCTGTTCGAGTTAGGAAAGACCCCATGTTGGTTCCCATGCACTGTAACAAAAATGAAATAAAACATTAACATCCCAAAGCATCCTACTCGTTTACTCGTATGTTTTTTAAGCTATTTATCTTTAATATGCACACATACACAGTCATAGTCTCGTGCAAGAGCTATTAATGCGCTTCAGACCAACAAGGGACAACTCACCCCTCTAGCTGAAGTGATGCAGCTCTGCAGCTCAAGGATGCTGGGTGTTGTCACGGTAAGCGGTGCTGCAATCAAAAGGATAAGCTTCCTCATTAACGACACAAAAAATCCTCTTCAATGCGCACTGATAGAGATGCACTCATTCAATGATAATAAAGCCCAGTTCTACACAGAATCTGTCTCTTTACCAGCAGTTTATTTTTTAAAAATTACCAATTTAATGTGCCCGCATGGGTGCCTAATGCAATACCTACTTTCCTGCCGCTGCACCAAACACACCTTCATGGGTGTTTGGTACACCTGTACAGAAGGTGTGAAACAGTCAAGACTTGATGCTTGTTGCTCAGAACTGGAGATAGCCAAACAGACACCACAAAAAGCACAAGTGCAGTTTCAGTATCGGTAGATTTATAGGCAGATGGCAATCGATGAAGGATGCAAACTGTAACAGGCCTTGAAAATTACTAAATTGGTAAATTCTCCATTTCAAAAACTTACGGAAGCCAGCCGAATAAAAATTGAGAGTAGTCTACTCTGTCAGACACAATGCAAACAAATAGCTTAGGTGATCATTTGTGATGGTCCACGACTGTGTTTCACCGTATTCGCTACCTTTGTGACACTGGCCCTTTCCGTAAATGGCAGTTTCTAATAGTTACCCAGGGTTTAGATGCCACTATCTGTCGAGCCCACGGCTGAAGTAAACGGTGGGCCAGAAGCTCCTAGCACGATAGTAAAGAATGCGGGAGTGAATGAGCATCATGCTCAGCCACAAAAAGTCACATATAGCACTACCAGGCTCATTTTGATGTCAATACAGAAGTGTGTACTTCAGCATGTCCAAATGACAACAAAAGAACGCCAAATGTAAAGGTAATATGGAAAAATGCAATTCACAAATATGCTGCTTATACATATTGCCATACCTTCCCCAAAGCTACAGTCACTATCTCTATATGATCTGTGATGTTTTTCACTGCATCAGCTGACACTGAGGAAGCAGCTACGGATGTTTTTTTTTTTTTTATTTTTGCACGAAAATGTTTACGGCGAGGTGAATTCCATCAGTTCGACATCCCACAGACTTTCGTTTCCATCTCTTCAACGGAGGCATTCCAAGGTAGGTTTAGCGTTGGTTCTGTACTTCCCCTATCTGCTGTTTAAATTCTACTGATGGGACTACATTTCGAGAAAAAGATTGTATTTCAGTTATGTTTATGCACCACACAGTTCAAAAAGCAGCTTGTAAGCAAAGAAAAAAAACCCATTATTGTGATTATAGTTGGCGTCATCCCTTTTTGTGCTACATTGTCAAGGCTAGCATAGTTTTCTCAGTGCCACAGCCCCGCCTTGCTTTCAGGGCACATGACTTTGTTTTGTGTTTGTTTTTTACAAATCTGCTCTTGTGAGGCGACGCCAAATGGAGCCACACGCTCGTGCAAGTAGCTCTGACAGCATTAGAGCACTGCAGAAACTATACTTGCCTTGACAAAGTGGCACAAAAAAGTTGACATTGAGTATAAGCCTTTTATTTCAACTGTTAAGCCACAGGAAACTTTGACATATACTATGTATATAAAAAGTATGCCATAGATTGACCAATTTGTGTCAGGGTTCTTCTCTTTCCAACCACAAACAAACATTATCCATATAACACTAAAACAGATACAATGGGCAGGAATAAAATTTAACAGAAAATCTCTACTAACCTGATGACTGCAGCACATTGATGGCCTCGATCCACTGTGACCTCTCGAACTCGGAGGACAAAAAGAAGGCGTACGTCTTGGTGTTCTTGAGACCAATCTTGAAAGCAAGGTTCGGAGAATGCAGCACCAGCTGGGCTTCCTGGGACAGGAGGACAAAACAACAGCTGCCTCTTTCTGCCCTATCTGCACTTGCAGGTATGTACATTGCACGACTGTTAACATGAACAAGCGACAGTCGCTTTATAACACGGAATGTGCTATATGGCTGGCATCGAACCGTTTCCAGTTCCACACTCCTGTTAAGGAAGGACATCTCACAAAGGCTGCATCAGTGTACCACTGGAACTCGTGTACACATGGACACAAACCCCAGCTGAACGCTGCCACAAAAGTGTTGTCATATCTGTGTCCCGTGCTGGCCTCCAATAGGTGACCTACCCAAAATCTAGCATTACGGTTTTGGCCCTTTCACACGTCTGTTTGTCTGAGTTATGTTGGCTGCACTACAAATCATGCTCAGGGAGATCCGAGTTACTCCCGTGTGTCACATCAAGTGACCAAACAGAGCGGTGCTCTACTCCTAGCAGACACTAAACAGGCGAGCACCAAGCTTTCGACAACCTTGCCAAGGATGTGCACTTTTTTTTCTTTTCACTTTTTAAGGCATTTTTTGAGTTGGGTTTTTCACATTAAAACTGCGGCACAGCACGACTCTCACATCTTCCCCAATCCCACATGTCTCATTCTCGGAGTTGCTACTGCAGCAGAAATGGCGGTGGAGCGTTCGCATCTAGCTTGGTGACGCATCATATTCTGTGCTACCACTGCCTTTGCCACAATAGTGAGGGAAAGGGGCACTTTTTTCTTACACTTTCTCCTCTCTGAATCTAAAGGCTGTCATCAAAACTACTACTAGTGCAGTGGCAAGTGGCCCTTCCGGGCATTGGGGTGCTAACCTAAGAAGTAAATGTTGGTAAAAACCTTCAGAATTAAAATGTGAAACAAAAAAAAAAGCTGATGTTGCGTTAGTGCCAAAAATGTTGTGCGGCATAATCCAGTTAGAAAGAGCAGCAGAAAGTGACGGTACCAGTTCACTCAGTTTCTTCCTGTTTCGCTCGAGGTTGCGTCCTGGCGGCTTGGACAGTTTCTGCAAAGGGAGGCATTGAATGATCAAACAACCTTAGAACAAGGAAGATACCCTCGAGCCTTCTCCTTAAAGACACCGAAGACACTTCAGAATTATTCCTATAAAAACTGTGGTTTTGACTTGCTTAATTTGCTGCCCTATTTGCAAAATACAGTATAGACCGCATATAACGTATGTCAGGGGAGTCGCGAAAATCCGCACTATAAGCGGTACCGCGCTATAACCAAAACATAAATTTTTCAGGCCAAAATGCATGCCACCAGACAACTTACCTTTGTAAAAGAATTTATTTTATGTTAGATGAAAAATAAATCTTAGTTTGAGGAAAGTCTTTATTGCACCAGACTAGTACACTTCTCTCTCGAGTGTGTCACACATTTTGAAAGAAATGAGCGACTCTTGCCTGGCGCAGCCTTTTAACGGAGTCGCGGGTTGCGGACGGACGTCGCAAACGTTTAGGATTGCTAACCCTAATCACTTTTCTCCGGCGATGAAAATGCGTGAAAATTCGCATCCTTTATACGGTACGCGCCAGTAATACCTTCAACTTGAGCACCGGCATAAAATGCTCCAAATAAGAAATACGGGCGATATTCGAAAACAGAAATGCTTAGAAAGCACCACTGTAGTCGAAGTAAACAAACACGACAACACGGGCGTTTCTGCCGTCTTGAGAGTGCCACCACAACATCGCCGCACGAGTGGGTGGATTTTCCCTTCTAGTACGTGCTGGGTTATCATAGCGACACACAACGAAAATCCACAGTCAAGGTTAGCGCTTTTACGCGGAACGATGAACTTCCCCCACGCCGCCTACGTCAACGATCAAAACCGACGCCATGTTTGCGGATAGAACCAGCCGGCCGGCCGGCCCGCGACCGGCATGCAACGCGCGCGAACACCACTTCTCGACCTGCGATTGGTCTGTCGTTGCGGTTGTTTCCAACGCACAGAGCGGAGGGACGCACGCACGTGAACGACACGTGCGTGCGTCTCTCCGTCGCTATGGCAACTGAGGCCTCTCTCTTCGCTTCTCCCCGCTTCTTCGAGCAACCTCCTTGCCCCGCGAGTGCCGCTTGCGGCTCGCGCCGTTATCTAGTGTCGCACAGGGAAGCGTGCTCTCTGCGTCGGTCAGTCGGCGGGGTCGCCGGGCTGTTCCGAAAACCGCACTATAACCGGTATTTCCCCTCACGCGCCTGCATTTTAAGCGGTATGTAATTACATGGAGTTCTATGGGAGGCGAACCGGTGGTTTAAAAAAGCCGCGTTATACCCAGTCCTGCACTATAAGCGGTTACGTTGTAAGTGGTCTATACTGTATTATTTCTTTGTAGAATTCAACGACAAAAATTAGCAGAAATCCTCAAAATCAATACTTTTGCAGTGATACTCGTAGAGAGAGAAAGAATGCCCAATATGTCGCTTTCATAACAGCTCCCCGCATGAGATGAACACATCGCACATGCATTTTCCTCTTCTCCTGTTGCCATACATGATGATACGAATACAATAAAGTCATTGACTGTCTAATAGGTAGTTATTTTGGGCAGGAAATAATAACATTCCATTTATCCTGAGTTGGGAGCATTAATGTGTCGGTGAAAAGCAAGTAGCCATTCAGTAAACTCTCAATTGTGTGAACATCGATGTAACAAATATTTCAGTATAATGAGCTTTTAAAAAATATCCCGGCGGTTTTCCTACACATTTTATGCAAAATGTTTCAGTTAAACGAATTAACGAACTTTGGAATAGCGAATATTTCAATTCAACAAACTTGATCGATGGACCCAGGATTATTTTTGCAATCAGTTCAACGAAGTTTTGTGCTCTGCAGTGCTGGCGAAGCCAATACCCGCCACCCCGCTGACACCGCCTCTGCAGCGGCGTATCATTGCTGGTGTTTACGGTGCCGCTGAGGCAAAGCAGCAGTGCGGTAGACGAAAACGAACCACGTGCTGCGTCTGTTTCTTGTTTGTCCTCGGTTCCGTTCGGCCATCTTATTTTTGGGTAACAACGGCAGGACGGCAGTTTGTGTGCCCACTTTCATAATGAGTATGACGAAAGGGAATAGGTTGTCTCTACCAGACAAGCTCAAAATCCTTCAGCGTCTGGACAACGGTCAAAGGCAAGTGGACGTTGCGAAGGACTATGGCAGTGGTTCTCAAATGGGGGACACCTCCATGATGCCCTGCATCATCAAAAAAAAACCAACAACAAAAGTTTTCTTTTAGATTGAGAAGAAGTGTTTTAGTTTTTGGGCCAGTTTTCTTGTGTGTAGAGAAAGTGGAGTAGCGGAGTCTACTTCACACTGGCCATTAGTTATACCCACTTATTAAATCATTATTATTTTTAACCTATACCTTCCCTCTCCTTCCTTCCCCCCTCCTCCCTCCTCCTCCCTCTCCCTTCCCCCCCACCTTAACCATGAACAGGGTCCCCCATCATCTCTGTTGATCCACAAGGGGTACGCGAAACATTGATGGTTGAGAACCGCTGGAATATGGAATTGCACCAACAACGTTGTCAACGATAGTGAAGCAAAAGTCAAAGCTTGAAGGAGAAACTGCGTTCAATCCCAAAAGGAAACGACTCCGCACGGGATACTTCAAGCCAGTACACAACGCCACTGCGGTATGGCTTCGTCACAGCAACAAGCTGTGCCAGAGGAAGTGCAAAAAAACATAGACTCTCTAGACAGCTTTGCTACTTCATGTGCTTTAAGAGTGCTGGTGCAAATGAAAATTACTGATCTTTTTATTCAAAATAAGAAAGGCAGCAATGTAACTCTAATGCACTTTGTACATATCGATGTACATGACTCCGTAAATTGCATTTCACACTTTTGACTCAATGTATGCTATGCCCTATGCTGTGAATTTTCAGTGAATGAATTTTCAGTTAAGTGAACTATTTCCTTGGGTCGCTTAAAGTTCGCTAAATTGAGAGATTACTGTATCAGAAAACCTTGGATTGTCCCGTCCAATAATTGGAATGGAACATGGTCAGTATTGCCTGGGGGTACCTCTCTTATGTATTTAATCATAGAACTTAAAACTTCACTTCAGTGTCTTTTTACCTAGGAAGAAAAGTGCTAGAGTAAGACTAAATTAAGCACGGAGCCACATTAGGTCAGTCTTCTCTGGGTTAAAAATAATCATGATCCATACTTCATACACATAAAGAAATTGAAGCATTAAAATGCAATGAAAAAGTAAGTAAATATTCATTACCACTTGGCAAGTGATGTTGGAAGAGGTCCGTAATTATTCAACATACATGAAGCTACCTTTACTTGTGCGTCAATACACTCAACTATCATTAATTCGAACTCCACGAAACCACAGACTTTAGTTTGAAATATCAGAAGATTAAATTATCACAAATTCATCTAAATATGATGTGAGGCAAAGTAGCAATTTGCTATTCGCGACTCCAGCAAAACAGACGCCGCCAAGCGGGAAAACCGGGAACCAGCCGGTCCAGGTCGCTCCGCGCCCCTCCGCGTCTCTGGTGGCTTTCGCGGAGAAGTGCTGTCGGCGCGGTGGCGTACGATGTAATTTGACGAAGGTCCGAATATTTCTTAAGTTTGCCTGAGTGATCATTAGTGTGGTGAAGCCTCAGTAGATTTTTTTTTCTTCTATTACGTGTTTGAAAGCCCGTTTACTCCACAGCACACGGTCGTGTGCTTTCGATTTTTTTGGATGGGAGGAATCACGGAAAACTTTTTGATTTCTCGTCTGTCTCGAATCACGTTCAAAGTGACGACTGCTTGGTAACTGATACTGGAGGGAACATCAATGTTGCAGTCAAGTGAATGGGAAGGTTCGATAGCTGCTTTTCTTGAGTTTGGTTGTGTTCGGTTAACTTCACGTTTGAGCCACCCACGCCGGTCGGTGCGTTGGCTATTCATCTTGGCTGCTTTTCGCCGAAAAAGCCTCTGGACCACACTGAAGGAGTTGGGCTGATTTCGCAATTACTTGATTCATGAAAACTTGCTCACTGCAAATGATGAATGGGGGAAATTATCCGTTTTCAAAAGGTGGGAGACAAGTCTCGCAACGTTAGATGCTGTCACGGCATTTTGACCTATCGCGCCTCCAATATTTATATTATGCAGAGAGGTTCTGCAAGGATCTTCAATGAAGACTCTCTTCAGTTTGTCCCCGTGCTGCCGGCTATAGAACCATTTGGCTAAGTTTAAGTAGTATGTCTCCGTCTGTCAAATATACTTTTATTCAGCAGCTCACCTAATAGCTAGTCAACTAAGCTCATATTTGAACCCGAAGGGTGTACTAATATCGCTTTAGTGGGACCCCGCCCCCCCCAATAGTACGTAATATAATACATAACCCGCTCGTCAAAATGACTTCTCGGTTGCTACTAAAACCTGAACTGAAATACGAGTATCAGCTGCTTAGTGGGGCGCCGGCGGGTTAACATGGTCCTTGGCTTAAGAAGCGGTTGTTTAATTTTTGTAATTTTCCTGCAGCCTGTGTTGTTGGCCGAGCAGACGACTGGAGCTGTTTCGTAAACGCAGATACGCACAAAAGCTCAATTTCGCGGACAGATAAGTCGCATGGTCGAGGCATGCGAGTTAGCTGAAAAGTTACTCTCTGTGGAACAATTCTATAGTCATCGCCGCTTTCCTTAGATGATCAAAACTGATTAGTATATTACCGTCTCTCCGGAGCCCATAGTTTCGGTTTTGAACGAAGTCTCCGAAACGAAAGTTTGACACGAAAAGAACAAAAAAACACCGGCAAAACAAAACTATGCTTTGCAAGTTTATCTGCACCGGCTACACTTAACCGTCTCAGTTCAAATACCTATAAAATTGGGCATTAAACAAAAGAAAATCTGTTAAATTGAACGCGCCACCTGTTCAGGCGGCCCGGCCGAGCCGCCGCGACCTGGACTCAGCCGCCATGTTTGTTTGGTGGGGGCGCCCCCTATAGGTCGCTGGAGTCGCGAATAGGAATAGCTACACATACCAAGCAGATTTTTTATACTTTCCACTGCACAGGCATATTTATAAGCAGGCATACACATAAAACATTGGTGAAGTTCGAAGCGAATAGCGGTTTTGGAGGAATATTAACTAAATGAATATAGAATAGTTTCTCCAAACCTCTTGCTACCGTTGTACCATGCTTAAACGAAAATTCAGCTGATCTTGTGAAGGTTGTTCCCAACCTTCCACTTGACCACTTCTAAGCTCAGTTAGTTTTAATATAACTATATCTATGAACCGTGGCCTCACAAAGTCCAATGCGTACATTGGGGTGGCATGAAAATGACAGATTTGGCATAAAATGAAACCTAAAGAGGTGTCAAGCTATCCTAACCAAGCAAATTTATAAATCTGCTTGCTATACACACATATTCTTTCCTTAACCTCAAATTCAACCCCCTCAGAAAACTAAAAAAATTAGCATGAATAATGGAAGCAGATTGCCAGGACAGGTTTGCTTGCGTAATCGCGGTGGGTTAGTCCCATTATGTGAGCTTCTCACTGAGCAACTGCGTACTGTGGAAAAGCAATGACTGCAATCTCTGTGGGTACTGCTTTCCCGCAGTAGACAGGTGCTCGGTGAGAAGCGCACTCAACGGGGCTAACCCGCTGAGATGAACAAATAGTATGAATTAAGCAAAAACACTGTTTTAATTAAGCAGCTTATAAATGCATTTGAAACATGGTGGGACAACCAAAGTATTTTATTCTGTTTGTATTAACTGGAAGTATGAAAGATCCAAGTTTGAATTATTGTGAGTCCACTGTATAACACAAGCTCTTGTCAATTTGTTGAGCACACCACTGGGAATAGGCAAATGAAATTTACATAAAATTAATTTAGAGATCTACTCTATACATGCTATAAGCTTTATTGACACTCCATGTTCCGAGAAAGTATTGCAGAAATTTAGTGTGCCCTGTACTACCCATCACATGTCAAAAACTCCTGGGACACTAAGATTTACTGGACAAGAAGAAAAAAAAAGGAATGATACATCCTTCACAGAGTATACTTCTCAAAGTATATTGTAATGAAAACTAATAGTGCGACTGCCATGCACGTTTGGGCTTACTTTCTGTACTTGGTACAATACATTTTTGGGTAATAGCTACTAATCAGGTGAACACAAGGTTGGGAAATAATGATAAAAGGCAATGAGGTGCAACACCACTAACATATTGGCTGACCCACATCATGAAGAAAGTAAGAATGGAAATTCAAGCCAAGTACCGTAGTAGTGAAATTAAAGAGCTCTGACTGGAGCAATATGTCCTGAAATGATGGCACGAAATGCATACCGCATTTTCTCGCTCCTCTTTGGTGACCAGGTCTCGCAGAGTGCTGGCCCGTGACCGCAGTTGGCACACATTCACCTTGTTGTCTTCCCGGATGGGATCCGCTTCTCCTGGAAAAAGGACAGAGGGGAAAAAAGAGTTCAGGGGTATCCTCTTAGACAGGGGTTGCCAAACCACAGCTGGCAGGCCGGATGTGAAGTCTTCCGACAGGCCCGCGGCTGGCCGCGGTTCTTTGAATGAAGTCCGGCCCGCGGCCCGCTTCCAGCAGACCCCCTGCTACCGACGCAAACAGAAGTGCGCAAACACTCCAAATGTGCAGACGAAGATACCAGAAAGAATGAGAGAAACTGCATTATAATGCGGGCCTTCTCGCCATATTACTCATTAGACACTGCCATCACCAGCATCACAATTCTTAGTCTCCTGCTTCATGTCTGAGTAACTATATTAAATTACTTCATATTTTCATGCGCATTGTGCTTAGTGTCATTGGTCAAAACTATTGCATATTGTCAGCATTAGTTTTATCATTTTCATTAGTCTTTTGCACTGTGCGAATGATGCAAAGATCCTAAGCGCTTTTATTTACGCCTGGTGAAATTTTTTGGCCAAAATTGTTGTGTAACGTCACAATTACCTAAATATAAAATTTTAAATTAAAGGACATGTATTTATCCACTTTATGGTCTTTCAATGGAGGCATCAATCTCACCAAAGTTCATTTTAGCAAACACCTGTTTAGAAACCCCCATTTATAGAATCCTTTATAGAGATACCCAGTTTAAAGAAAATGGCGACAAGCCTCCTTTTAGCAAATTAGTTTTAATTTAAAAAAAAAATTCGGAATTGGGCAACGCAAAACTTTTTGCATCTTGCCTGGTTTACAGAAGGCTTAGGTAAACACGCCTCAGTGAATGATGTGCTAGCCTTTTTTAAACAACATCCCCTTTTTGATGAACCAAGCTTTAAAAATGTGCCCATTCTCTAAAACGTCTTTCGATGAAATGGCGTTCAATCAACCGCAGTGAATCTATTCTTCAATACCTACTCTAACATTAATTTCCCTGTCTAAATGCTTATTTTTGTTGTTGTTTTTTTCCTCTCTCACAATTATTCTTTTTTCCCGGCCCTTGAGACTGTGACAGATCTGCAATCTGGCCTTTAGTCAAAAGTTTGGAGACCCTTGCTCTAAGACATGCTTGAGCATCAGCAGAAGAGATGAAACCAACAGAAAACCAACAATACAAAAAAAAGGTAGAATTTGAATGAGAAGAAGGGTTTTTAAAGAACATTTTTATCCATGATCATACTGAACCGACAAAAAGGTTTCTTTAGGAAAAGTGCATCTCTTTACCTTGATTAAAGGAAGTTCGTATGAAATAATGCTGCCCTGTGCAAAATTGCGTGAATAGGTCAAATAAAAATTTATTAGATCAAGTGGGCACTGCTAATACGAGATTGCAATGAAACAGTTTACTTAGAAGAATGCATCAAAATGACTATAATTTGCTTCTGTCCACATCAGCACTCAGCCACTGTAACTATGGGACACTGAACATAATGCTAGCCAATTCTGAACTGTGCATTGCCAAGCTGAGTGCAATGTAGTTTGCTACTTAATGCTGGTCAACATTAAAACCATAAGACTTTAGTGTTGTATGAATATTCGAATTTTAAAATAGAATAATACGCTATTCGATATTTGCTTCCAGGTGAACTGCAATATTCACATTATTCGAAGCGTTGATCGCAGCAGGTTAGTCCCGTTGAGTGCGCTTCTTACTGAGCACCAATGCATTGTGGGGTGTGGCTTCTCCGCAGAGCACCAGCGCTTAATAAAAAGCGCACTCAAAAGCGCTAACCCACCACGATCAACACTTCGAAAAGTGTTGCTTAGGAGGAAAGCTCATTTCCAAAGCGGGATGGTGAATGCGAGTGCCTGGCATATTTAAAATAGAAACGGAAACTTCGTGAATGTTAATATCTAAATTTCAGTAAAACTTTAAAAATTAAACTGGCATGCATGAGTATATGTTAAGCAGAGATGCTCCGACAACCTGTTTTAATCACACGTGATTTAAGAAAATATATTTGCATATAGTAAGAATATTTATAAATCCTCTTGTTCAATCTTATGTCAAATGCATCAATTACTTGCCATCTCAATGTAGGTATTGGACTTTCGGAGGCCACAGTCAATAAATATAGTAGAGTAGAACTAACTTACCTTAGAAATGAACACGTGAAAGCTTGGCAACGACTTTCATAAATAAATCTGGGTTTTCGTTTAAGCATGTTGCACTTAGTGAAAGGCTCAGAGAAATTATTCAATATTCAATTGCAAAATATTCGGCCAATACCACTATTTGCTTCAAACTCAAAATTCATTATTCGCACAACTACAAGACTTTAGAATTAATTGATCACTTCTTTTGTTCGAACTCACCTTCCGCGTCGATTAGAGTCACAAGGCTCAAGGGTATGTACCACTTCACCTCAAACGTGAACTTTTGCCTGCAACAGAAGTTGAAACAATGCAATTAGAGATGTTGCTTAGCCAATTCATGAGGACTGCATTGAAATGTAATGAGAAGCTTGTATTAAATGAAAAATTTGTTGAAAAGTTTCCATACATTGTCATAGTATTACCTCACACACACTTGCACCGAGTATCAATAAATGCAGGGTGGCACAGAACATTCTGATAGGTTATAAAATGAGCTGGAAAAATCGGCACCGGCAAGTAGCAAGCTGAAAATTTTATCAATGGTGTGTTTTAATGGTCGGTTCTACCATGTGAAATTTCAAGGCGTTGCCCTGTTTTAGTGAGACATAATATTATAATATACCGTACAATCCGGAATATAGGTCAAACTTATTTTTGAAAATGGACTTGAAAAAGTCAACCCTTGTCTCATAGAATAACGGTCATTAGCGGAAAAGCAAAAATAATCTTGCAACACTGGGTGGCTAAAGCCGCCGTCTTGTTTTCTTTGCAATCACCTAGCGGTCGTAGTTGTCACGGTTCACTTTCACTTGTGCTCCTTGGTTTGTTACATGATAATGAGCGAAAGTTGAAGACAATTCACGGTAGCCTTCAAGAAGAAGGCAATTGCCTATGCAGAGATCCACGGGAATCTTGCAACGCAGCAAGAGTTTGGTGTATCGGAGAAGAGCATACGCTACTGGCGAGGCCAGCGACAAAAACTGGCAGCATGCAGCAAGGCGAAGAAAACTTCATTTCGAATTTCATGTTTTAATGCGTGCGAAGCAATTAAATAAATGTGCCGTGCATTTTTGTCCTTCCGTATGCTTGGCCAGTTTTGTTGCCAAGGTAAGGGTGCATATTCTTGCCATAAAACTTTTTTTTGTGCGACCTGTAAATTAGGGGGTCAACCTATATTCCAGTTTATACGGTAATTGGAAATTTTAACCTAGATATGAACAGAACAGCAAATTTTGTTATGTCTACAGAATGAGAGACACGCCTTCTAAAATTTTAATGATATACAGAAGCAGTGAATGACTAAAATAAGACAAATAGAAAACAAAAACATCCTTTAGAATTATGTGCATTAATGCCATCTTAGTTACATCATAGGTGGCTTACCTTGATGAAGGCTTGTATTTGGCACAAACAATCACATCATTGAAGAGGAACAGATGCCTCAGCTTGCGGTGACCTTCAGAGTACTCCACAATGAAGCTGTTCTTCACCACATGCCTCGGTGCTCTATCCTGGTGCTGAAAGAGCGCACAGAGCTTAAAGTGACCTTATGAAGCACAGAAATTATACTGCAGTAGACGACAGGCGGGGCATGATAAATACACAGAAGGCCATGAGGGTGCTGGAAAAAGATAGAACAGTGAAGAAAACCCATTCACAATAAAAGGACAAAGTTCAGATAAAACTTTAAAGATCAAACACTGTTGAGGTTTTCATAACTAAAGTATGGGTTCTCAAACTGGGTTTCCCTCAAGATTCACCGGAGTACCCACATGGTTTCCACAAGTACCCGGATTTTGTCGACTGTCCCTGCTGCTTAGTAAAATGTTTTCTAAGTTCAAGCGCTACTTCAGTAGATCCAAGCCATCCATTGATGCACAACTGTGAGACAAACCGTCCACTTTGTGTGCCATTGTCTGCAAGGTCTGTTGAATTTGTGACTGTTTTATCGCATTAATCTTGTGACTGAGGGGTATTCCTCGGCTACCATTCAAGGCAGACAGGAGTTCGTCGAGACCGAAAATTTTGAGAACCCCCGAGCTAAAGCAGAAGTCATTCAGTCCCATATGTACCCAAATAAAGCAAACAAGACTGCAGCAAAGCTTTAAGTTCACACAATGTGACTCCACAATGCCAGAAGTCCTGAGGAGCAACTGTCAAGGAGGTGCGTAAGCAAAGTCCACGACTGATCGGCAGCAAACGGAATAATACCCAGTTCACACGGCACCGTGAAGGTACCTTTAGCTTAGGTCGCTTGACTGAAGGTACCTGTAAAAAACGGTGTTCTTGATGACATGATAAATAAACGGAGCACTTTAAGTTGATGTCGATTGCATTCCAGCCTAAGCGCGAGAGGAGCACGTGATAAACAATTATTCCTCGAAATCGGTTTGACACGCAGTTTATGTTTTTTTTATTATTGTGTGTGAAATATCACATTTAAAACCTAAATATTACTTCTGTCTGCTTTTGCGGCACTTTACTTTCTCTCTAAGTGTAAGAGCGCACCTAAATAAGTCTTGCTTTAAAACGTCCAACCCGTCTGGCCACACTGGCCCTAAATTATCTGCGTTTACGAGTTTGCATTGGGAGGTGGACGACCTTTCTCTGTTTAGCAGCTCCATTTTCTTGCAAAGTTCTCACTAAAGTAGCTAAATAGTGCCCGACAGAAACAAACCACGACGACAGAAACAAACCACGACGGAGTCTCACGGTTACGCCAGTCACGTGATCGAAAGAGATAAACGACGACGAAGATAAAGGGTCCTGGGCGAGAGAGTCGGGAGCAACTCGTCTACAACCTCGAAAAAGATTTCGCAGTGGTCCATCGCGTTCGGGTTCGTAGCAGACATTGTTTTCCACGTGCCGCCGCTGCTACCTGCTAGCAAGAGTATGTGTTCATCGTTAATGTATCATTCCATTACATTTGTGTTCACAATCATTTCATAACTTGATACTTATATATATATTCAATTTGTTATAAAGCATTAAACAAGATATATTTATATATCTGAGATATTATTTTGAGTCCGTAGGTCTGAGGCTACTCCCTGTAGCTGTAAAGGGAGCTTGGCAAGCTCCGTTTAACACAGGACCTCCCTCAGCGAAAGGGACCTTTATGTGCCGTGTGATCACGATCTCCAGCTTTTTTTTACAACAGGTACCTGAGCTAAAGGTACCTTTACGCTGCCGCGTGAATTGGGTATAAGACCCTTTGATCACGATTGTAAAGACCGCACAATTGGGCAATAATAGTTCCATTTTATGTTCCTAAGCCTTAATTAAAATGTCCCAATCAAGATGTACCTTGCAGTCACCAAAAGCGCTACTTACTGGAAACATGCTCTCTGTGGAGTTGAGTTTGAGCTCGTTCAAGAACCGCTGTGTGAGCTTCAGGGCTGCCCTCAGGTTGTTGTAGTCGTGGTGGCTGCTTGGGATGTAGTGAAGCAGGTCCTGAAAGCGTGATGGGACACATGGGGGTTTGAAAATGTGACTAATTGTTGCAACTGGCCACTTCTCTAGGTGGCAAGAGAGTGTGTTTGAAAGTGAGACAAAGCACCCAATAGGGACTTACGTGAAGTACCAGAGCATTCTTCTGTACCCTTGCCACAGGCTTGTGAAGCAGATCTGTTAAACAAGCAAAAAGAGTTTATGTGAATGCAAAGCTTTCTGCAAACAAATGCAGAGGGTGCAAATCATGCATTCCAAAACGAATCTGTGTTGCTGCATTTGTGCACAAGAGATGGTGCGGTAGGCTTTCTCTTCCATTGTATATGTCAGCCATCTGTATACGTAGATGTGTCCACATAAGCTATTGCCATACAGGCAAATCTCTCGTATATAAAATCTGCAGCAGTTTTCAGTTTTTGGAACAAGAAATTTACTAAAGATTTTTGACTATCAGATCTGCAGAAATGTGTTTCCCACTGAACCGTCAGGGTAAAAGAATAAACTCAGCACAGATGCATGATGTCAATACCCCGCTTCCCAGCATCTACCATTGTCGGTCATTAGTCTAAAAGACTAAACACAAACATACCTTCGAGTGTGGCTGGCTGTCCCTTCGATGTGTTCAACTTGATGTTCTGCACAGATTTTTTTAACATATGTTTAATGAAGAAGCACTCGAAAGGGCTATAGCTGCAGACAAAGGAAGAAATGCAATGAATCACCTTGAAGAGTTCTTCGAACTTGAGGTTGGAGGCATTGCAACGCCGCACTGTTTCGATGGCTTTGGAGTAGTTCTCCAAGAACAGTTTGTACACCTCGAGTCGACTTGCCTGTGACAAAATGTTCAGAGATTTCACACTTGCCGTCATATGGAACAGTTTTGCCAAACATTCTAGTGATGGACATACACTAGAACAGAACATTTCTCTTGTAAGGTCGGATGAACCAGGCAAAATTTTTGCCTTGTATTAGTGTCACTCCCCTACATATCAGATGAGTCATACTAAATCACACTGCAATTTTACTAGTACAAAATGTCTTGACTGCTCACGAAGGCAAAAATTTAACCAAAGCGCATTTTAGATGACTCATCTGAAAACGAAGCCAATCATGCAATCTGATTTGGTGTCAAATACCTTAGGTGCATGACCTTCCTTCTGACCTTGGAGAGATGACGTAAACACCACCAAATGATGGAAGTAAACATCTTTAAAGATAACAATTAAACTGCAGCAATACAGAAGAACCAGTCTGTTTTCGTTACTGCTAAAAGACATTCTAATGTTTCGATGCCGTCTCCTCTTTGATTGGTAGTGCTGCAAATGATGCATCGTCAAGCAAAGCTCCAAAATGTTTCTTTAGCCAGTTTTAGTAGATGGTGCTATCTAGTGAGGCAAATGCTGCTTCCATAAAACAACCGAAAAGACATGAATACGGTGGGACGTGTCACGTGGGAGCAAAGCAACATCTTTACAGGTCCACTGGTATTTGAGATTATGTTTGCGCAAGCCGAGCTCCCGTGAGTGAAGTGTCAATTCAATTATGAAGACAGCTACTTCTTTGGACCCTTGTTAATATGGTCTATTATAAAAGCATGTTACATGCGAAGTACAAAGAATCCCTTGGTCTACTGATTTCAGCAGGACTAGTTAAGCTCATAAAATCTGTTCTTGAAAAGTGCAGTCAGAAATTGGTACGTTCCTTGCAGCACCATTTGTGGAAACGATTGCTCGACGAGATTAAAACTGTTCATTAAGCACTGTTTACGAAAATGGCAATCAATAAGATGATAGGAAACTTTATAGGATGAACTCTTCAGAAAGAGAAAGACACACAATTACCTTTCAATTAGGTAGCTAAGATATGTGCTGGAAAGAAATGAGAATCTAATTTTGACTTCCAGATTAATTTAAAAAAAAAAAATTCTCCTCAGCGTGCAGAACACTAGAGTCAGGTAATTTGCCAAAATCTTATTGTAAATGCCGGAAGAAATTGTATGGTATATGTCAACCTCATTCCAAATACTGTAAAACCCTTTATTTTTGCGGCCCCTATTTTTTGCAAATCGGTTAAGCATTCTTCTGTACCCTTGCCACGGGCTTGTGAAGCAGATCTGTTAAACAGGCAAAGAGAGTTTATGTGAATGCAAAGAGGACAGAATCGTGGCAACTAAATTTCGCAAATTCCAAACGCCTGCAATTAAGGGCTCGCGAACGTTAAGGGTTTTACAATATGCCTACACACTTACCACCAATTCAAATCAATTGAGCAGCTCTTTGGGTTTGCACATGTATCCCGCTCGAAAAGTAATACACGTGGACATCCGAGAATTTTTTTTCGCCGAAAAAGAAAAACTTTTTGTAGTCACTCAACTCAATGAAAGTGCATGTTTTGTGTGACAAAAGGGTAAAGGGAGTCTAAGCTTGATGTCAGTCACCAGAAACTTGAAGTTCTCGCCGATCGTCGGCTTGGCGTCCCAATTGTCAAAGTTCCTACGCAGCCCATCTCGGAAGTTCTTGTGTGTGTCGTGGAGTTGCTCAATCTTGTAGAAGATGGTCTCAATCTCCTCCTTGGAGAGGACTGACTGGTTCGTTCCAATGGCACTGGACAAGGCCCTGGCATACTGGGAAAAGAGATGGGAGACATCAGAAAACTACACTAAGGAACACCAAGCGGGACTTTAAAATATCAGCAATGTGTAATGTGAATGACTTAGTTGGCATTCTTCTTTCTTCTTATGTACAAGCTTAATCTTAATGTTTTCAAAAATACTTTCATTGTTCCATGATTTTTCATGCTACTTTTTGGTCCACACCATTTGCATTCGAGCGTGATTTACTGCACTGCAACTGCCTGCGACTGCTGACGACGAGATAACATAGGTAGATCCGGAACATTTCTGATCTGCATATATTACCTTATTTCTCATGCATCTTCTTTTGCCGTGGGATTGAAAATATTTTGACAATTTAAAAGCAACCATTTTTCGTACACAAAGCGTAGATCTGATCTCGTAAACACTACAAAACCTACAGTATAGTTGTACATAAGTTGGCTGTGTTCCAGGGCTCCACCATAAGTGCTGCCAGTATGTTCGCTTGTAAGCAGTTACAAGCAGTTGAAATGCAGTCAATCTCATTCAAACGGTGAACTAGCTTTTAGAGAACTTCAGAAAAACGTATAATATTCAGCTTGTGTTTTTTCTTCATACGAGCCAACTTAATCTTAACAACTTTGAAAATACTATTGTTGCTTCATGTTGACTACGTCCAAGAATGCTTCAGTATCTTCTAAATCAGGCATTGCTGTCCATATGATAGTTCCTACATGTTTCTTGTGGCATTACCTGGTTGAGGGTGTCCAGGCAGTCCACGTAGGCGGTCTCACTTTCGATGATGCTGCTGACGATGCACTTGCACATGGCCAGCATCTCCGACTCCGAAGGAGAGCTGCCAGGGGGGGAGTCCTGCCATGGGAAATGTAACAATGGGAGAAAATACACTGTTATAGCATCATTAAAAGAGAAAGTAGTAAGAGGCATGAACTGACTAAAAGAATATGTGTGCTTAGAAAACAACTGAAGGGCAGGACTGTCCTTCTGTTTTCTCACTCTCCAGGGCTAGAAATGCAAGTTCTTCAGCAGGTTGCCCCCACCCTTGCCTTAAGACGACCCCATGAAGTGCTATGGCAATGATGGTGCATTAGCGCTTCAAGGCTTTTCTTACAAGCAGAATATTCTATCGGAATGACAATCAATACAACACGTGGGGAAGGAATTGTGAACGTATAAAGAAGTTCCCTTGTTCACCCATGCACCTCTTCTTTTGGGGTGCATTGCATCATTTTCTCTGAAATGCTTCCGCGCATACGATCTAACCGCAAAATGCTTCCACACCTACTAGATTATTCTACTAACATGCAGTTTCTGTTCCTACATGCTAGAGAGAAGCGGGGCGGGATGCCAAACCATGGGAGAGAGCAACGTGGAGAGAGTGTCGAGTTGATATTTAGGAGCCTGGCCCAACCCGGTCCGCTTTCTTTTAGACCCAGGCCCGCCACAACCCGCTAACCGCTTCTGACAGCCGGTTCGGCCAAGCCCGTCCTGACCGGAAGGCAATTTTTGGCGGGCCTGCTGAGGACTGCTCTCTTTTTGCCCTGTATGAATAGCTCACAAATTGCGCAGCACGGCAGCTCACTTGCCATGCCACCATATTGACTACAGTATCCAATAATCAATGCAGTAAGCATCCTTTTTTTTTTCTGTAATTATTAGTCAGAAAAATTTGCGGGCCTAGGCAGCTCGTTAAAAAGCGCCCCCCCCTCTCCACCCCCCCCAATTGTCCTTTTCTGCAATAAAAAAATCAAAAAGGACAAAAAAAAATAAAAATGGTGAGCAACACGTGCCAAAGTTGAAAAGGAAGGGAAACGTCGCGACAGGTTTGAACTTCGAACAAAAGATGGGCCAAGTTCTAAATTGTTCACTCCTGCTGCGCACAACCAAGAAACAATTTTTAAAAAATACTGTTGCCTCTTGCGATGGTCTGCGAGAAACTGCTTAGGGAAAGCACCCCTAAGGGAAACCTCTGCAGTCATACTGAGGATGCATGCACCCGTACCTACAGAAGGTTTACACCTGCGAGGGTGCGCATTGTGTAGGCGCGTGCGTGTGCGCATTGATGGGGAGAAGCACCTGTAAAACGGCGCGGTGCCGGCGACAAAAATGGATGCCGCACCGCTGGCACTGCTCTGGAAGAGCACTCAGTACACAAACCAAACCCTACAAACACATACAAACACACCCTCATGCTTTCAGAATTTTGACCTCCCCCACTACATGGTCTCTCCCTAAACTTGTTTAACAAAACATTGCTGCTGCTACTAAAAAAAAACTAAAGAAAAAGAAAGAAGAAAAGTAACGGCTGGCTTCGCCCACTTTTGCATACTTGAATGCAAGGCCCATGTCCAGCCCGGGTCCTTCATATCGCAAGTTCCAGCTAGGCTGTCGCCGCCCTGACGGCCAACCTCAGAAAAGAAAAAAAGAGGAGGATTGTTTTGCTGTGAGGCTCACAACGTGGGTGATGGAGGCTCAGAAACACCGCCAGAACTACGGCAATATTCTGTGGTGATAGTATGATAAATGGTCACATGATGTGTTGGTGAACTCCATGTGGCAACAATATGTCGCAGAAAGCACAGCCTGCGTTCGCTCTTCACCGGATCCACCGCTCAACAGTGACCGTTCAGCCGGACTAGTGGCATGGGTTTCCCCCTCCAAGAAGCTTTGCTGCTTCGCACCTACTTGATACTGAGAATGTCTTCTTCATGATATGTGTGTGTTCAGTGGTTGGATGATTCTCATGGAGCTGCCTTCGGTCATGACAGTGGCCGTAAAAGGGTAGAAGTCAATGTGATCCTCGTTGGTGCTCCTCGCATGCCGAGATAGCACTTGCCCTAAACGTAAGTTATCGGGTCAACAGATGGTGGACAAGTGCTCCTGTGTGGAATCTGAAGATTAATTATAACAACAAAGGTAAATCAAACACTGCTTTATTTTGGATGTAACAAATGTAAGTACACTATGTGCAAATTTAACTTAATCACAGTTTTAGTGCATGAACGTAACGACTCTGCCAACTCTGCTCTATCGCTTTTATCTGAAAGCTTTTGTACGGTTATCTTTGCAGGTGGCATGTTTTTTTTAATGCTATTCGCGACTGATGGCATTGTTTCATTAGGGTTTGTTTTTACTGTGTAAGAGTAGTGTGGAAATGTATTGGTCAAAGTGCTATCACTGCTGTGTCTTGAATTCGCTCGATTCCAAGAGCAGCATAAATAACCCTCTATCAACTTTAAATTATGCTGTTTGACGTCAAATAAATTGTTATGAATTCAAATATTTATTCCTCTTTATTTTCAGACCAGTGAAAAATAATTGCATATTAGCTCAATGTGCGGCCGTGCGTAATGCACATGTTTGCGGTACCCAGCAAAATACATGCAAATGATTCAGAGCTCCTGTGGAGCTATTTGTTTTTGCAAGGTGGCAATAGTAGTGACCCAATTTCGGATCACCATATTGTAATATGAGCATAAGCAAAATAAAGTGAAGATTTGAGTGATAATCACAAAACTGAAATCATTTTAGCCCACTTGTCGGGTTTGTTGTTTTCAGCGCTTACCCAAGGACGGCATTGATCAAGGTTTGTCTGCTCGTCTCGCAAGATGTCATCAACCGCTTGTCGTCTTCTGTCCTGTACGGCTCGTTGGCAATGAACACTTACCACATAAAATAAATTGTGTTTAATGCATTGGTGCCTTGTTTAGTAGTATCCATGAGACATACTGTTGAATAGCGGCGTATCAAAGTGTTTGTGGCACTCGTTTTTTCATGTTTACGTTGTGGGACCAGTCAGTGGTGGGTGTCCTTAAATGTGCTGGCTGCCCAGGTGTCACAAAACAAAAATCGACCGCCTATTGCTTCACACTTTGAGTCGGAAAACTGGTCTTTCTGAAACGCAGTGCCTACGGCAAAACAAACCCCCTTTCGACCACGCCGGTGCCGATTTATTTTGTCCTTGTGTTGCATGGCCTGCAGATACAAGGCGTTTTCAAATGTCTGACTAGCTTGCCGTGCATTTTAAAAACATACTAATGGAATACTGAACTCGATCGTAGAGTATTATCTGTCGCAAAACATGTCCATCTAAATTGATTGAGATGCCCCCAGCGAACCGATTCCCCTCTTGACCGCCATCATTGATTTCTGCAGCACCCCCTATATTTGATAGAACTTGCTAAGAAATGTAGCCGCGAAGCCCCAGCTCAGCCCGTGGCCAGCGGGCTGCCTTGTACCTGTGCATACCTCTAGGGTGACCAGACGCCCCATTTTTGAAGTCCAGCCATTCCTCATTTTGTTTCAATGAAGCCTTCTGTCCCGCTTTGAAGGGAACATGCACAGGAGTTGCGAAATTTGTACTAAGCGAACAGAAGAAAACCGACAGAATCTTTTTTTTTTATAAAGACATATTTTATAAACATATGTATAGCATTAAATGTGACCTCCCACATTTTTAAATTTTTCCTTTAGTTACATCGGGGAATAAAAATATTGTTCGCAGAATTGTGTGTATGGGTCACTCTTTCTGTATTACTGAAATCGGCATACTTCGGTAGGCAAAATTTCTTACAATTGTTTAAAAACAGGGAAGAAATGAATTTCTGTTTTCAATCAAGAATTTAGGAAAAATGTGTTTTCACATTGAACTGAACAGTACATGGGTGGAACTCATCAAATGTATTTGGGAGCAGTCACGGGAGCAGCTGAAACCGCTGTTTTGGAGCAGGTTGGGAGCAGCTAAAACTACATTCTGGAGCAGGCTAGGAGCAGCTCAGATCAGTTTTCATTGCACTTCAGCTTGTGTCTTAGACGAGCACGGGAGCAATTTCAATAGTGCTTAGCAGCACAGATGAACATGAGAGGTTAGGAACCTAGGTAGATGGGATAACACATAACAGTGTAACAGATGCGAAAACTTGGAACTTTGTGAGCCTTAATGAGAGCCAAAATGCAAGTACCATACGTTTCTGAAGATAATGTACTTGATATTTTCTGAGTGGCTTTCAGCTGCTCAAGATGCAAACCAGCACTGCTTATCGCACAACTCACGTGCTCGACATAGTAATTATATGTGCGAACCACGTGACGTGCGTAAGCAACGGACGTGCCGCTGCGTGGAGGAACAGGGCAACAAATTTCGAGTTTATCCTATTGTGCAACTCAATATCGAAGCAGCAGACTACGATTAACAGAGTTATTGTATTCAAAGCGATTAACAAGAGCAAGGTTAAAGTACGCCGAGCAGATCTACCGCTCGCGTGAGAGCTGCTGGACGGCAAAATTTCGGATCGGACAGCGTTTCCAGTTCTATCAAATCACAATTTATCTTGCGGGAATGCGGTTCCAACTTATAACGATTAAGTAGTAAACGGAATCTTTTGCTCATTTTTTTTCCACTGGTTGACTTCTGGATTCCGGGCCGCAGAGCCTCAGGCAATCTGACGCTTAACGACTCGACCTCACCTCGGCCGACTTGCTTAATCACTGATGGTTGAAGAATAACAATCCAGTCGCATGCAGGTGGTGTAGCGCTTGGAATCCGATCCCCGAGTTTTTAGGCGCGCTTCCGACTCGAGATACATAGGGAGAATAAACAGAACAAAGGATTGCAGGGCCGACCAAGCTAAACGTGCTCATTGTTGCCAGTCGAGTCGATAGAAACCGAAACCAAGACAAAATACAATTTTCTTGGGCGCACGTTGTGCGATTTGGCGCATAATGGCGCAAGCTATTGGCAGTGGCGCAGTTTCCGCAAAATGGCGCAGGATGGCGCAGACAAATGCGTCTGGCGCAAAATGGCGCAAATGGCGCAGCCGTTCCACCCCTGCAGTAGCAAAGCTTTCGCTGTT